GGGTTTTAAGCCTCTTGACATCATTACTTCTCGCCCACCTGTCAATCATGTCAGCTATGTGCCTAACTATGGATAACACGTATCGTTCATAAAATCAAAACAGAGGCGTTTTAAAATAATTCACTCCCTGTAGAGTGTGTGCTCTTGATGATAATAACTAATCAGACCTTTTAGTTTTTTTGTACCAGGCTGTATACATATTATTTTAGGCTGTAAAAACTGCTTTTTTAAATGAGGTGTGTTTGACTTCTAGTGCAGCTAGTCTCAAGTGGACACTCAACGAACTGCAAGATTTTGCACTTCCGCATCAGCATCATTTTTCAACACCGGATGAATCACTGGATGTATTTAAAGACTTAATATGTGATTTTTCACACTTAAATATAATATAAATCAAGTATATCCTCTGAAAATAACTCTGTGAGTCATGACTGTCTACAATGGGTGTAACACCCGAGTCCCACTGTCTGTGATGTTTTCAGAGTTTTCAGAGTCCTATCTTCACTTTGTTTACATCGCCCGGACGGCCGGCTGACTCCTCCCCTCGTGTATAAAAGTTGTTTAATTGAGGGACTAGAGAAAAAAGAATAACATACTGTACTCACTGCTTAACTGTGTTTCTAGATCACGCTCATTTCAGGTAAATTTACATGCAGTGTGAAGATACCAGCATAATAAAGATCACTAGCATTAGCATGCTAACACAACAATGCAGCGCAAGTTGTTTTGGTTTCATGCTGGTGCTCAAGGGCAACATCTGCTGGATCAAAAAATCACATATTCTTCCTTTAAAAAACAGTCAAGAAGCTAAAGTGGCCTGTTTCCCACTCTTCAGATGTTTCTGAGTTGAACACTTTAAATATCTCACGGTGTCACTCAAATGATCAGGGGTGTCTGTGCAAGGTGTTTGTTTAGGAACTTGTTTGGACATTCGTGTGAATCATCCAAAACATCAAACCGAAAACCTCCAACAAGGAAGTCTGGTATGCCAGACATCTCTGAGTAACTGGTAATAACTTAAACATTGTAAAATATTTCTGACATGTTGTCTAAACCACAGAGGTTAACTTTCACATTTGAGGTCATATCATTTTCAGCTGATGCTTCAATGACTGTATTGTTAACGAGATAATATTTTTTTTTACATTTGTTTGCCAGGACGAATGCCAAACAAAGGCATTTGGTGGGTAGGTCAGCCGAAGAGAAACAGGAAATGTTGGGTTTGGCAGCAAAGGGTCCAACGTCTGATTCCAACCCACGGTAGCTGCGACAAGGACCACAGCCTCCATTCATGGTGCTCGCAACACAACCACCAAGCCATGTGGCGCCCCTACAGAGCAACTTTAAATCTCTTGACATTGGCTCAACCATGATCAGATGCTTCAGGTTTTACAGCTTTCGTTTAAGAACTTGTTTCTGAGTCTTTACTGTTAAAGAGGCGTCAATAAGCTTTAAACCAAGAAACCAGGAAGTCTTTTTCCATCTGACATATTGGATGATTGTTTTAGACTATTTGTTCAACATAATGACAGATTCTTCTCATGTTTGTTAAACCACAGTGTTATTAATTTTATAATTTGTTAACCATAGTTAAGCTTCAACAATGAGAGAGCCAGGAGGAACCAGGAAGACTGTCTCACCTGATGAATCTGAGAGATTATTTATGACTGTTTGTGTGAACTTGCTGAAAGATGGCTCATGATTAGTAAACCACAAAGGTTGTTTAGTCTATCAATGTTTCAGCAAGTTAGGCTCTGTACCAAGTGGCAGCCTCCTGTGTCAAAAAAGATTATACCAGACGCTGAAGTGCAAAATCCTGCAATTCATCGAGTGTCCACTTGGGGTTGGCTGCAAAAGCACCACAAGTCACATACACACCCCATTCAAAAACAGCAGAAATGAACATATTTGCAGCCTGGTACAAAAAAACAAAATACATCTGATTAGCTCATGCCTTGACCGGCACACAACGTAAGAGGATAATGAATCCATTTACACTTCATGAATGATAAGCGATATTCAAAATAAAGCTCATAGCTGACCTGATTGAAAGGAAGGGCGGGTGTAATGGTTTGTAAGGACGCTGAAAACCGGCCTCAGCTTCAACTCTCATTTTGTGGTTAGGTGGAATAAAAGTTAGACTGAGACAGTATTTCCAGCATGGTGACCTCCATCGATGGGCCCAAAATCAGACCTAAAATCTTCTTGCCAGCTTAAAGGTCCAAACTGTAAAATATCTACTGAATGAAATTATAAAGTGACCTTACTATATCATCAGACATTAAGGAAACATGCTAATGTTGAAGTGCTGTATCCGAATATGATTTACATTACGTTTTTATCACAGCAGCCGCCCTCGCTTCCTCATGCAGTGGCCTTTGACGTAACATCCTGTGTTTCCTTGGCAACGATAAACATGTCGAGTCTGTCACGGCGGTTCATCATGGCGGCTGCCGCGACAAGACACAACTACACAAGTTCGGATTTCTCTGGCTTTGATAACTGTTGGAAATATTTGAGGTAATGTAAAGTACTCAACAACAAAAATTACAACATAGTTTGAGTCAATTTTTAATTAATTTAGACATTTGAATGTAAACATTGTCATAAAATTCTACATACTATACCTTTAATTGGGAGGATTAGACAGATAGGCACTTTATTGTCATTGTATAAAATAACACAACAAAAATGGTGGTCAGCCCTATGTTCCCACATGCCAACCCGGCTTTCCAGATGTATTGATGTACTGCAGACTATGGTTTGCGTCCAGTTGCTGCGCTTCATTTGACTGATCTGACTGGAAGCTAGTCAATGCGAAGCCTCTGTGCTACTTAATTTAGTTTGTTTATTTAAAAGGACAATGTGAACTTACATTAAATGTTTGCAATAAACAAAGAGATGAGTGCACCAGATTTCGCTAAAAGCTACATTCCACCTGTAGTCCATTGCTACTGGATAATAAATTGGGTGTAATTGGCTACCAAATTGGGAGAAAGGGGGATCAAATCTGATGCACATTTATGAAACAGGAAATGTGGGAACATAGGCACGCTCCTCAAAAATGAGGTTGCAGCAATCCCATCCAGCAGTGCTACAAAATCTGGTCAAACATAACAATATATCCGTTGCTATGTATATTAATAATTAGTTGTGCTATATTGATCGAGTAGAGAAATAGCTCATTGACATTAGACAGACGAGAATAAACAGACAAGGATCATTTGTCAACCTGGAACACATTTTGTCACAGAGATGACCCTTTTGTCCTTTACCAACATTGAACCTACAGCATGTGTACACATAAGAGGAGGCGTAGGAGTGTTGGCTGGTTGAACAGGAAAATGTTTACCATATGTGACACAAGTGGAAAAAAATGACTTCTGTTACCTCTGTGAATCATGGAACCATTGTGTTTCTTTCTGGTTTGTTGAAATACTAAAAGTTAAGCAGTAAAGTGCTTCTGCTTCCTGTTGAACAACATGTTCACTTCATTCAAAATCATTCAAACAAAAAGCTCCAGGTATCTCTGAGAGGGGGGGGGGGGGGGGGGGGTGCTGGCGGCGGCTCGTCACTCAGAGAAAAAAACTCTCCCTCTCCTGTCACTGAAAATACTATATATACACAAGTCAGAGGGTTGTAAGAGCCATCGACTCCTGACAGCAGCTTGAGGACCGAACTGGGACCATCAAATCCTCGCAGGTACCGTGGTCTAACTTTTCTATTCTTTCATAAATGGTTTCTTCACACGTGCATTTAGCACGATGGGTTTTGCATTCTTGCAAATCTGCATGCTGTCATATTGTTGATGTTGTTTTTTTATATAGCATAAACTTAATTAAAAACACATCCCAATGTAAGGCCCGGTCCTTCTTCACTAGCCTGGTGTAGCTGCACGTTTTGACAGCTGGAGGCATCGATTGGCGTTTCAGGTTTGCGCTGAAACGAGTCTGTTATGGTAAATGGTGAACGAACTTGAGCTCCTATAAAGTGTATCGCTTTTCTAGTCTTCTGACTGCTCAAAGCGCTTTTACACCACATGTCACACCTTCACATTCACACACTGACGTCAGAGGCTGCTACAGTATATAAAGTGACCATCAGTAGTAGCTATTTCCATTCTCACAAACATATCAGTCCGTTGTTATCTGTACACTGCTGCTCTACCCCGATAAATCAAACTGTAATGTTGCCATTTTTTTCAATTTTATTGATTGAGGGCCATTTTTTTTTAAAGGTAATCTCTAAGCACAAATATTTTTAAGGGTTGCAAAGAACTTGACTTTATGCCCTCCAAGCATTAAACAAGATCAAGCCTGTTTCTTGGTTCTGTTTCTTTAAATGTCTCAGACAGGAACCCAATTTGATCGTTTGATGATTGAGCATTTATATATTTTTCTCTCTCTTAAAGAAAAAACCTTACTTAATAACTCTTTTTATATTTTTACTTCAATTAATTTCATTTGAATTATTTTTATTTGAACATTTTTTCTTTCCTCTGTCATGATGCTTTTGATTTCTTGTGTGAAGCACTTTGAATCGCTTTGTTGTTGACATGTGCTACATAATAAACTTGCCTTGCCTAATATATTATTCCAATAAGTATAAGGGAAACTCAATGACACAAATCCACTTTGTAAAATGTAATTAAAAAAAGACACGCACATCCCTACTTAGGTGCTGGATAAAAAAAAACACAAATAGGTAAAAAGAAGAAAACAAGATCCGCACACCATGGAGGAGAACATGGTCTTCCTCAGTCTGCTTGAAGCGTCACTTTGTCTTTAAATCCTTAAAGTGGGAGCTCCTTGGTGTGTGGCTCTCCTTTGCTTCTTTTCACAAATCCACTATGTGTGTCTGCGCCGTCCCGTTTTTAAATGGATTAAAGTCACCAGCTTACATAATACATGATGTTTTTATTTCAAAGTAAAATCATGAATCAAATAATTTCACCTGATTTTCTGTGTTTTGATTTTTGTGGGGTTTTTTTTCTTTCAGAGATGAAGGGGTTTCTGTGCCTGATTGGTGCGCTTTACTTGTGTTCACACAGCCACGTGGACGCTGGTGAGTATGACCCCGTTCAAACTATATCCAACTGAATGAAGTCATCATGAACGTGTTACACAACGACGTCTTACAAAAGAGCATGTCGTCTTTCATAAGCACACTTCTTTGACAGGGTTGGCCCACTGGGGCACTAACGTATAAATATCAATTACTGACCCTTCCTAACTTCTAACAAACTAAAGAATCTAATGTAGAAAGGGAACTGAGTTGTGTTTATTACAGCGGAGAGCAGACTGACTGAAAGGTTTTTTTTTTTGTCTTTAGAAACACGTTTGAGTAGAAGAGCTATTGAAAAAGCTGTGGAAGAGGCGAAGGCCACAGTGGACTCGGCGTATGAGTACTCCAGAAAACAGTAAGTCTTCAAAATCGACACGACATGAATATACATTCAACTTAAAGGCTTTATATGTGATTTTTTGATCCAGCAGACGTCGCCCTTGAGCACCAGCATGAAACCAAAACAACTCGCGCTGCATTGTTGTGTTAGCATGCTAATGCTAGTGATCTTTATTATGCTGGTATCTTCACACTGCATGTAAATTTACCTGAAATGAGCGTGATCTAGAAACACAGTTAAGCAGTGAGTACAGTATGTTATTCTTCTTTTCTCTAGTCCCTCAATTAAACAACTTTTATACTCGAGGGGAGGAGTCAGCCGGCCGTCCCGGCGATGTAAACAAAGTGAAGATAGGACTCTGAAAACTCTGAAAACATCACAGACAGACAAGTGTTAAAAATCACATATAAAGACACTGAAGCAGTGTCAGTACGTGCTCATTAATCTTCCCTCTTCACTCGACACAGGAGCATTGAGCGTGTGAGGACGAATGCAGCGAAGCCTTCAGACGTCCTGCGTTTGTTGAAACAGCCTGTGGGGCCAACCCGTCTTGCAGTGCGAGCGGCCGACTACATGGACAACACCATCAAATTAATTAAGACTTCTCTGGTGGCACGTCAGAAGCGCTCCATCAATGCCACAGGTGTGTGTCCCAAATGAGTTCTTCAAATGTCCCACGTTCACAGCTAAGTTGTCTCTTCCTGGCCTTTTGTTTCTAGATTTGATTTCTGCGGAGGATCTGCAGTTGATCTCTGACCTGACAGGCTGCTCTGCCCATCAGCGCCCCGCCTCTTGCAAGACTGTGTCCAATTTAGAGAGGTTTCGCACTGCGAGCAGCATCTGCAACAACCGGTGAGGATAACGCTCAGAAGGCACCTTTAAAGAGACACCTGCTCTGAAGTGAATGAAATGACTGAAGTGTGCCGATTGGTGTCTTTTTTATTAACAATGTGTCTCTGTCTCCTTCAGTTGTACAAAAGTGAAGCCAAAATTTGTCAACAGAGCTCTTTCTTTAAATTAAATAACTAAAAAAATCAAACTACTCAAAACAATGAACACGTGGATATTTATCAGCACAATAACTATTACGACAGAATCTGGGTTTAACACATTTTATTAAACACCAATTTTAACTTCTGTAGTTTGAGCCATCTGTTAACATGGAGGAGGTCCGGGTAACGACCTGTGCTGCATGCCAACTGCTGTTTAAAAATCAACTCTTTACATTGCAAGCAGATGTTGACACAGATTTGAGCTGCTGTGACTTTATAAATCACAACCTCAACATTAACTCCTGACTCAATAATCTAACCCCGTTTTATGTGTCTCTTTTGTCACATGCAGTTAAAGAATTACGAGTGTGATCGGAAAAGTGGGAGTGTCCACATTCCTGTTGAGAAATGTTGTCAGCAATGTCAAACAGTAGCACAAAATGTTAAAGATGCAAGACAAGGAAAGGCAAATGAAAAAGATGTTTTTTTTACTGGCATAGAAAAAACAGCCGCAGGGGATCCTCCAACACGCCTTTCACCCGCTGGCTCCCTGCCGAGTATCAGGATGAAATATCTCTGCCGAAGGGCTGGGACCTTAAGCTGAAGATCAACAAACAACTTCTTCCTTTGGTACTTCATATACATATACATATAAACATGTGTTTTTACTGTATGATGATTACTCTAAAGGATGAGACCTGTGATACGGGGTATGTTGTTCATGATAACAAAATAATCAGGATAGAGTTCTGCAATAATTTATATGATGCAAGAAAGTCACGATTAACTAGAAAAGGTCATTTGTAGGATTGATGCTGTATAGTTCCTATAGTTCCACTTTGACTTTATAAAACTCTGGGGACCCCAGACAGCCAAAGCTTATTTCTAAAACTTTATACAATCGTGTGGTCATGCTTTGTTGTGAGTAAACATTCATTTTTAGGCCACTTTAAGGCTATTTCATGTGTATTATTGTGGACAGAGGCGGAAAAGCGAGGATGGGATTTTTATTTTTCTGTGTAAGATAGGTACAGCCAGGTGAGCGCGTGTAAACAACTCTGGGAATTAATGCTGGACGCATGAGATACAGACAGAGAGCATGAGACTAAAACAAAACTGGATAAAGTCTTACAAGTCGCACAATGCTACAATATACTTTTTATTTAATTAGAGATTTCAGGGGACCCCATTTTAATTCTATATGACCTCATATCTGATCTGGACCCAAAGATTGAGAAAGCCTGGATCAATGTAATTATTCACTTCAATTTGGTGTCAGTCTCACCTCTGCCTCATATCCCACTGTCCTGTTCCTCTTTCAGTGATGAACATTGAACTAAACAGTTATAAACATTAAAAACTCATTTATGATTATTTTTCCTGTTGTATAATTTATTTGATAATTTTCACTCAGACGCTTTGGTCCTTTTTTTTTTCTCCAGGTGAGACAAGTGTCCAACCACATTCTGAGCACTAAAAACTCTGACGTGGAGAGTGATCCCCTCTACACTCACCTGGTGACCATCTTCGGTCAGTGGACGGACCACGATCTGACTTTCACTCCCCACTCTCCTGTCATCCGCTCCTTCAGTAACGGCATCGACTGCGACAAGACCTGTGAGCGCACAGAGCCCTGCTTCCCCATCGCGGTGAGCAGCAATGCATTCAAATATGTGACAAGGCAATTTGGGGAAAAGTCAGGAAAATCTAATCGAGAGACCCACGTACCATGAGACATACAGTACATGCATATCTTTTCATTTCTGGAAGAGGATAAGGGCCACTGACTTTCTGACATTCCCAAAAATCTGAGATTAAACTAAGATTTCTGAAATTAAAATCACAATTTTGACTTCAGAAATATGAAACTAGACCCAGAATTTAAAAGGATGCAGAATTCTGAGAGTTTAAGTACAATTTGAGATTGAAGTCAGAATTCCAAGATTAAATTCACACTTTTGTTAAAAAAATTGTCTTTAATGTTTTTAAATCTGAATTTTCAGAAACTCTTCTCATCACTCTGTGAGGAAATAAAAAGACAAATTTGAAATTAAAATCAAAATTAAGATTTTTCCAGAATTCAAAGTTGAAGTCAGAATTCTGAAAATTGACCAAGAAATAAAAGGATGCATACGTTTTATATTAAAGTCAGAAATTTGAGATAAACGTCAGAATTCCAAGATTAAATTCATTCTTTTTAAAAAAAAAAAAAATGTCTGAAATCAGCAAAACAAATTCCTGTGGCCCCAATCGTCTTTTCTTACTTTAGAAAGTCAAGAAACATAATTAAAAAAAAGGAAAGTCCACACAGGAGGTGGCTGGTGGGGATTGATGGGATAGACAAATACAATTTCACTCAAGAAACCAAAAAGTCAAAGCTGGGTTATTTAAAGTGACAGGTACAGAACATCACTTCAAGACCTTACCCTGTGATGTTTTTGGTGCCTTTAATTGACCAAACTGCAGTCTTTTACGGTTTGGTCATGTTGTGCACCAAAACTACCTGGTGGTTAGGTTTAGAAAAAGATCACGCCTTGGGCCAAAATAATACATCATCAGCATTGACTTTTTCACACAACAAACAAAATTGATCTTCTGGTTCCTTTGGTAGAGAAAGCCAGAGTCATGTGCCTCCTAATGCAATCCCGTTATATACATTTCATGAATATAGAATCAGCTGGTTTCTTCATTTCACAGGAAATATGTAAAAGCTAAACAAATTCTAAAAACTTCTTTCCATGCATACAGATTCCCACCAATGACATCCGCTTTGTGGAACACTCAGAAAAATGCATCCCCTTCTTCCGCTCAACAGCAGCTTGTGGTTCTGGCCAGACCGGGCACATGTTTGGTGCGAGCACTGTCCGCCAGCAGATGAACACTCTGACATCTTTCATTGATTCAGGCCAGGTGTACGGTTCAGACGACACCAAAGCTCAATTCTTACGTGACCTCACCAATGATAAAGGCTTGTTGAGGGTCAACACAGCATACACCGACAACGGGCGAGAGCTACTTCCCTTCACCAACATGGGCGCCAACATGTGTGCTACCCGTGCTAGAATTACCAATGATATCAGTCTTAAGGAGGTGCCCTGCTTTCTTGCTGGTGAGTGGTTGAAAAAGCGGAGTGATTGGACAGTTCTCTCTGCTCTTCAGCTCGTATCTTTTCAAAAAAGAGTCAGTTTATTTTTGATGTCATAGGTAAGGAAATGTAAATATAATAACCGACCCTATTCCTTGCCTTCCAGGTGACGAGCGCTCCAACGAGAACATCGGTCTGTCGTCTTTGCACACACTTTTCATGCGCGAGCACAACCGCCTGGCTCGTGCTTTGGCCAAACTCAATCCTCACTGGAACGGAGAGAGACTCTACCAGGAGGCACGCAAGATCATGGGCGCATACTTCCAGGTAAGAGAGACGCTCAGCAGCATGGGCTGCAGAAACGTTGCATTAATAATTGAATTCCCTGCATGGAACAGTTCCCTCATTTTTTTTATCTTATAGGTGATCACGTACCGAGACTACTTATTCCACATTGTCGGCCCGGACGTGATTGCCAAGCAGCTATCCACCTACCCTGGTTATGATGAAGATGTTGACCCCAGCATCTCCAATGTGTTCGCCACTGCTGCTTACAGATTTGCCCATCTGATGGTTCAGCCCTTCATGTTTCGTCTCAACGAGACATATGAGGAGCATCCTGAGTACCCCAGCCCGCTGCTGCACAAAGCGTTCTTCACGCCATGGAGGATCCTCTTTGAAGGTTTGAATATTATCCTTCAATTTTCTGTTTTTCCAAACAATTCAAATCAGTACAGTGTGTAAACCGCAACAGGCTGAGATATACGCGACCACATGGAGCTTTATGGTCACTTTTTTGTTGGGACCACAGATGGAAATTAGCAACTCGCTAAATCTGGTGCTACCATCTTTTAATTTTTCTTTGCATAAATGATCGATGTCATTGAACATTGTCCCTTGATAAATAAAATACATTTAAAAAAAGATTAACAAAAAAAAGCTCAGTCGTCATCAGATGGTAGTTGGTGGGTTTTGGGTTTGGATTACAGCTAATGCGTTCTGACTAAGTGGCAATGTCCAATGATGAAAAATTAAGCTTATGTGAAAGTTAAGATTTCCTTGTTAATTGTTTAGCACCAATACACCAAGTCAAATTCCTTGTATGTGTAAATGTACTTCGCAATAATACCTGATTCTGATTCTGATTCTGATTCTGAAGTGCTTAAAACCGTAGTTCCTTGAGTGTCCACTTGGGAAACCCCATTAGAGCCTGTGTTAAAATTCCTGTTTTGATGTTCAGCCTGATGATAAAACAAAAAAAAGTCTCAACATGCTTCTATTAGCAGTCCAATATACATCTCATTGGGAATCTTTGCTTTGGAAAATGTCTAAAAAAGCTGGTATGGCAGCTTGCTAATGATCATCTTTTCCCACATTAACCAGCTGGCAGTGGTTTCAGGCATTCAGAAAACAATGTGTATTTTTACGATGATGGTCTTGTTTGTTTTTAGTAGAGGCAGCATTATTAAAATCCGTCTGTTTCATGAATAGTTAAAAATTCCTCACAGGAACTCAAACCGACTTTAAGTTCTTGTTTCTCTCAGGTGGCTTGGACCCGATCCTGAGGGGTCTGGTGGGTCGCAGGGCAAAGCTGAACACCCAGGAACACATGATGCATGACGAGCTGAGGGAGCGGCTGTTTGAGTTCTCCAAAGAGTTGGCTCTGGACCTGGCCTCTCTCAACATGCAGAGAGGCAGAGACCACGGACTCCCTGGTAGAACTCTTTCTGGTTTTTCCTCATAGCACTTTGATTTATGTCTCTGCATGAATTATAGATCACACTGTATCTTAGCCAGTGCAGCATTTTCACACTGCGTTTCCTTTAAGGGTACAACGAGTGGAGAAAGTTCTGCGGGCTGTCGCAACCCAAAAATGAAAGACAGCTGAAAAGAGTGTTGAATAATAAAGAACTGGCCAAGAGCCTGCTGAAGCTCTACAAGACACCAAGCAACATCGATGTGTGGGTGGGAGGAGTGGCAGAGCCGTTCGTCAAAGGAGGAAGAGTGGGACCCCTGTTCGCCTGCCTGGTCGCCACTCAGTTCCAGAGGATCCGTCAGGGAGACCGGTAAGCACTCGGGAGGAGGATCTGAAGAAACCTTATTGAATGTCATGTACAGTAAATGTCCTGAGTAACATTTCAATCTCATCTATTTCAGACTTTGGTGGGAAAATGAGGGAGTGTTCAATGAAGACCAAAGGGAGTCGCTGAAGCAGACGTCGCTTTCCCGCATCATCTGTGACAACACGGGTATCACTAAAGTGCCCGACAAGCCCTTCCAGTTCAAGTCGAAAGATTCCTACACTGAATGTGAGAAAATCCCTGCCTTTGACCTCAGTCCATGGAAGGAGGAAATTGAGTAGAAATCAGGGAGAGAGAGAGAGTACTGAATGACATGAGGGAAAAGAGCCACAGATAGGACCAGCCTCTACACATAGGGCACGCAAACCAACCACTAGGCCACCACCACCGCCTCCCCGAGATATGTGTTTGTTTTTTCCACTTTTTTTTCTCTTCACATTTAACTTTTGTTTTAAATTGTGGTTTTGATGATTGGCTGTTGGATGTAAACAATGCAATGATTTCTAAGTAATGTACATTTTAAGATTTGAATGTTTCAAAAGTAATTGAATTTTTGCCTTAAGAGTCGACAAGATTCACATTGAATGCTACAAAATAAAGTATTGACGCTCTGCTTTACTTTGAGTCAGCGTTTAATTTGATTCACCTTTTCAAGAGTTCTGGTGGGCGCGGCTGAGAAAGTGAACAGAAGCAGATACAATCACTACATGGGTCGCACTGACTTTGTGTAGACCAGGGGTTCCCAAACTTCCCCGCCCATGACCCCCAAGAATAATGGTGCTAGAAACTGGGGACCCACGATGTCCCTGGAGGTGGTTCAAACATTTAGAGTTGTGCAGTCTGGCACTCACACATATAGGCATTAGTCATTTATTGTAAGAAACATTAAAAGCAGAACACAGGTAATCTCCATGTACAGACTTCAGCACTGTGTGTGTGTGTGTGTGTGTCTGTATGAGTTTAATTTGTAAAGCTCAAGCTTCACGTTGATGAAGACGTGCAAACTTACATTTTATGGAATTTTTACACCTTACTTTCATTTCAGCATAAACGTAATCGTTCAGTGAGATTTGAAGTGAAATACTTTTTCTCTATTTGTTCACAATGATGTATAAAATATATGAAAATGTATTTGATTTTTTTGAAAAGCATCTTGCGACCCCCCCCCAGTGTCTTGCGACCCTCCAAGGGGTCCCGACCCCCACTTTGGGAAACATTGGTACAGACCATATTAAAAGTGGTAATACAATATGTTGTAAACTATGTTTAATTATAACCATGTGAAAAAGTAGAATCAAAATGAGTTGGTCCATTGCTCAAAATATTTTGATCTCCCTATTTGTTGTAATTCCTCTTTTATCCAAAACATCTGGTTCAGTGAAGGTCTGTCATTCTCCTTGTGGGGAGTGGGTGGGTGGCTCCCTAACGCCCTCTATTGACTAGTTACCAAACTGGTCAACTGCTACAGGAAGTGACCTAAGTGCATTTAAAAAATATATATTTTTAATACCACAATAATACTTCAAATAAATTCATCTTTTGCAGGGGTAATTGCTTGCTAAGTTATACAAAATAATTCAATCAAAAATTACAAACAGCAACCGCCCTTCAAAAAAACAAACCAAGGTGCATCTAGAATAAAAATACCTTTTTCTTACATGGAAAAATATATTTAAAAATAGCATATGCATTGTGACCGACTCAGGTCTTTATTGGTTCCATTGTCAGCAGTGTTCTCAGTCATCCAGGTCATGGTACATTTGAAGCTTGATCCAAAGGCAACTGGACTCGGTTGAAGATCTTGAAGACGATTCCCCTCTCCTCCGAAAGGCTCCTTCAGTTTCTAAACAATCTGGTGGATGAAGACTTCAAGATCTTCAACCAGTCCAGTTGCCTTGGATCAAGCTTCATATTTACATTGCCAGCAGTGGCTTGCACACCTACATGTATGTGACACTGGATGTGCAAGAAGGAGGGAGACAGAAACTGGGATGAGAAATGGGACTAGGCGGTAAAAGAGGGACCAGACCCGGAATAAAAACTGAAAACAGGAGTGGGAAAAAAAGTCAATTAAGATACCACAACAAAGTCAGGTTGTAACAACAAAGGGCACACCTGATTACAACCTGCATTCATTCTGTCTCTTTCTTAACATAGTTATACTTCAAATTAATGAAGAAATAAAGGTAGTTTGTCTTAGTTTAACCTGTGATTTATCTAGCAGCAACAAAGATTCAAATAAGTAATTAGGGTGGCGTGAGTTCATGCAACGCTCTCCAAAAATTAGCTTCATCAAGCAGCCGACTCTCCAACAAATAGCTTTTCCCAGTGTTAATAATCAGCTGAGTTGAAACAGTGATTGATTTATTAATATCAACAAAGGGACATGTTGCAGCACCATGTTTTTTTAATATCTGTAGTTAAACCAGTAAGGAGGCATTCCTGCTGGTTTTAGATCGTGTGGTATGAACAGCTGAGGCTGTTGGACATGCATGAAAGGAACTCTGACATTTGTTGGCTTGAATCCGCTGTCGAGAAACGATAATACTGGTAATATTGATACAAAACATTGCATAATCCAGATAGAAATGTCTTTTCCTTGCAGCTTAGAAATATATGGCCTGTATACCCTAAATGAGTTGTAGAATTGTAGATTTAAAAATAGCATCTTATGGGCCTTCAGAAATAAAGGGCTAAATAAGGACTCAAAAAAAACAAAAAACCAATGCAAACCATTTTTCACTGTGAGCAAATGTGGCAAATGTTGTGAGAGGACTTATAAGGCTGAAAATGAATCTACACCGGGTGTCAGCTTGTGAAGCTTCATGTTCTTTGAATTTCTCCCTCTTTAAAAGTGGCTTGTTAGTTATTTCAGTTTGTTATTATTATACACTGAGCTGTCATTCTGTACTTTTTTTCAGACAATGTTTGAGATTGTTTCTAAAAACAAGAATGTGTCAGTTAAGAGCGTGACTGACAGCGTGTTCTGTGTAAATCCATAAATGTTGATGTGCATGGTTCATCTGCCTGTTAGAATAGAATAGCTTTATTTGTCATTGTACAAGTACAACAAAGTTCAGTCAATGCAAAGAAACCTTTATAAAGTGCTAGAAATAAAATACAAATACAAGATTCTAAAAACACATCACACTTTCATCCACATTCCTTCACATTCTGCTGGGGTTAATATACAGATGGGTAGATATGGATATATATGTAAGACTACTCGTTGTGCTGCCTCCCATCTCGACCAGGACACTCTTGAGAAAGATTCTTTTCCCCTTAAATAAAAGTTAAATTAAAAAATAAAATCAACTATCCGGGCTGTCTTGTAGGCTGCCTTTAGCCTCTTTGCACTTTCATGTAGCACATCCCCTTTTATTAATAACTGGACAATTTGCATTTACCTGCGGAAGATGCGTGGAAATGCTGACCGCTGAAATGTTTTGCAAAACACTGCTGAATGAAGAAGAATCATCAGAAACAGCTGAAGGATTAGTAGAAGATGAAGAAAAACTAGAAGATGAAGAAGATTAGTGGTAGAAGAAGAAGAGTAGTAGAAGAAGTAAAAGTAGTAAAAGCAGAAGAACAAGAAGTAGAAGAGGAAAAAGGAGTAGTAGAAGAAGAAGTATTAGTAGAAGATGAAGAAACAGTAGTAGAAGTGGTAGAACAAGTAGAAGATACTGCTCTTTTGTAATGTTAAAAGACAAAGAGTAAGGTATTTTAGCTGCTTTTTGTAAAGTGTCATCAAATAAAAATTGATGAAATTGAAATTGATAAAGACTGCTTAAATGCAGTCAGACAATGAGAAAAGGGGGAAAACATCTCCCTATTGAGTGCTCATTTCAAGGGCTTAAATTAAGAGTTGGTGGCTAAATGATGACTTTGTGAGCAAGAGGACAAATGGCCGAACGCGTTGATGTGATTTTCATGTCTGGGATCCAAGAAATGTAGGAACCACAGTGATCTAAAAAGTTAGTCCCTAGAGGTTTGGTCAGGGAAGTTTGGCTGAAGTTTACCATTACCCCAGATGGCGAGTTATCTGGACCACCTGCCGCTTTGAATCTCACAGTGATTGTCCTGAAAACTCAGGTGAATGTTTTAAAGCAAAAATGGAGTCTCTAGGTGGAACAGAGCCAAAGTTATAAGGCTGAGAAAAAAGTGGAAAAGTGGAAAATGTTCCCATTCATTTGAATGGGGACAAATTTTGTGGAAAAAGTGAAATAACTTAAAAAGTAAAAGTAGTAGAAAAGTGAAAAGTCATAGTCATCATGTCCCGAAGAAGCCGGATAATATGATAGTTGAATTCACACTAATAATAAAGATTTGGATAACAATAGTGTGAATTCTGTATTACAACATTCCCACTAATTAAAAATGTCCCTTTGGACAAATGTTTTCTTTTTGAGGCCTTAAAAATGAAACTTATTTTACCACCCTGCTGTGTTGCACACTGACCTTAGAAATCACAAGTATAGGCTACACAGGAAATACAGCATCTTTAAAACACTTCAGGATAACGTAGATTTGATTATTAGAGACATGATGAGTAAATACATTCTGTTGTTTTGTAGAATCTACCTGCACAGCTCAGTGAGCCAGTTTGGCCACCGAGTTAAAAAAAAGAAGGTGTGGAGCCGCCTCTGGTGACAAATACATGATGAATGAATTTAATAGTATCACCACAACTAGCTGCTGCTCGACCATCTCTTTATAATTAGTATGTTCCTGTTGATTGGTGGTTAAGGGTTTGGAATGAATAGTTGTTTTTCTTCGAGCTGGACGGAGCTGAACTTTCAAGATGAGCTGTAAGCCAACAATCTGTCACAGTGGAACCTGTTGACATGCTCCGTTTTAAAGATCAGTCGAGGTTGTTTTAGAGATCATAGATCCAACCTCAAATGATAAAATTATATATTCTTTCTCCACTTGAGGAGATTCAGACAGAAAGTGTGTGTGTGTGTGTGTGTGTGTGAGAGAGAGCGAGAGTGTGTGTGTGTGTGTGTGAGAGAGAGCGAGAGAGAGCGAGAGTGTGTGTGTGTGTGTGTGTGTGTGTGTGTGTGTGTGTGTGTGTGAGAGAGAGCGAGAGAGAGCGAGAGTGTGTGTGTGTGTGTGTGTGTGTGAGCGAGAGAGTGTGTGTGTGTGTATGTCTATGTGTGTGTGTGTGTGTGTGTGTGTGTGTGTGTGTGTATATGTGTGTATGTCTATGTGTGTGTGTGTGTGTGTGTGTGTGTGAAGAGAGGAGAGAGGCCTAATTACATTAATTGCGTTCTATTAATTTTTTCGTTGTTTCTTTAAGCCAGTTTGAAAAGTAAAAGTTAAATCAAACTACGAACAAGGTGAATACATTTAATGTTTTAATGCATTAAATAGTTAAAGGGTTATTTATTATATTATGCTTATTGTGTAGGGAAAAAACCTCTTCGATTTAGCTCTTTTCTTATTTTAAGTTCAATCAGTATATTTCGTCATGATCCTGGATTTGCCCAAGATGTCTGCCTCCTAAATGGAAGATTTTTCTTGCCACTGTAACTTTTGCTAAAATGTCTTTAAAGTGCTCATGATGGATACATGTTGGGTCTTTAATAGCCTATGAGTAAGGTCTTTGGATCTACTCTTTTGTGATATTAAATAACAAAGAGTAAGGTCTTTTACCTGATTTTTATAAAGTGTCTGGAGATAACACTTGTTGTTATGAATTAGCGGAAGGCCTAAACTTCAGATAAAGATCTATTGGTTGATTGATAACACGTTTAATCGGTGTTAAAAGTCACGTCATGTACAGACAATGTGACAGGCCTCTGGGGTTTCCTTGGCACAGTTACAGGAAGTTTTGTCCTGTTGGTTTGTCACGCAGCTCCGTGTTTCATACCAGAGAAAAAAAAACCCAGCAAAAATATTTTCATTCCGGGAAACTGTTGGCAACGAATCAAACACAGGCTTGTTGAGATATTTAGAGAATAGAATATTCAGTTATTTTCCAAACAACAAGAGAATTTTCATCGAGAACATTAAATTAAAAAAAAACAACAATACACGGAAATGTAAAAAATAAAGAGATAGGCCATAACTTTATATATGTATGTGCATATATATATGTGTGTGTGTGTGTGTGTTTATTATGTGTATGTGTGTGTGTATATATATATATATATATATATATATATATATATACGTATATGCATATGTATGTATATGCATATGTATAGATTATTTTTTTATTTCTTGCTTTTACACATTGCCTGTAAAGCACTTTGGTCAGGTGAAGCTGTTTTTAAATGTGCTACACAAATAAACTTGATTTGATGATTTGATTTGACACATTTTAATTCATGCAACTCCGTATCAGCCAATAACTAACCTATTTGTTCATTAAAATAAACGAATGAACAGTTTATGCAGTAGTCTATACCACAGAAATGGACCTACAAAAATGCAAATATTTGTTGTAATTGTTTGGCAAACCAAAAGCAAGAATGCACAGCAGAAAAAAAATGAACTAACATCGTGAAATTGAACGAAAAGTGTCACTAATTTAAAAAAAAGAAAAGGTTTCCTTAATGCGGTTCTGTTTCTCTAACATGAACCGACGAAATGAAAGCAATCCAGGTGCATTAAATGATCTTTGTGAATTACCAGAACTGAAACTTGATTACCGGTAAGGAGCCACCTCTTCTCGTGTGAAGCTGCAGAACAGGCCCGGGATGCTCGGGAGGAGGAGGAACGAGGAACAGGCTATTTCTTAATTCCTGGCAGCACATGGGCGTCTACTACTCTATAAAAACTAAGTGACACAAGTTGGAGGTTCAGACTGGATGCAATAGCTCATTGGAAGCCAGTCTGGTCTAGTGTTCTTCATCATCTTTACGATCTTTAAGATTTTTAGACATCATTTTATTTTCTAGTAAATAATCAGGCGTTTTATTTTCTAGTAAATCGATCCTAATTGAATATCGAAAAATCGGATAATTATTTTTTTTTTCTAGTTTAAATTGGACCGGAGGACATCGTCCTTTTTTTTTGCTGCAGAGATGAATCACTTTGTGTGCCTGCTGGCCACAGCTTTTTACCTCTGCCTGCAGCTGCAGGTGGATGCCGGTGAGTAACTTCTTTTACCTTCATAAGGCCATCTGATAATACGCTTCAGTGCTTTCCTTATGTCATCTGAATGCTTAAGAATAACTCCGTCCTCCAAACTCAAAGGTAAGATAGATAAGATAATCCTTTATTTATCTCACAACGGGGAAATGTACAGTGTTACAGCAGCAAAGAGCAAAGACTGCAAACAGAAAGTTAACACAGTACAATTTAAAGAAAAAAAGAAAAATTAAGAATCTACAAAAAAATAGATATATACCACAATATAGAGTCAAAAAAATAGATTTAAAAAAAATGTGTGTGAGATTACATTTAGTTTGATTCATTTGGGGTTCAAAGTTTGTATTGTTGTTGTGCAAACACAACCAAGCAGCGAAGCAAATAAATAAGAACAACGTTATAGATACAAGGAAAACAATACTGCCAATTAGATACAACGGGGTTATAATAACATGGGGAATAATTACAGGGAATTAAAAGAAAGTTTATATGATAGAAATAGTATTGAAAGGGTAGAGAGCAACTTAAACAGGGTTATAAGTAGTAATAACATACAACAATAAGGATTTAAAGGGTACAAATAAGTATTTACAGGGTTAGAAAAAACATTATTTACGGTGTAAAAAAGTAATTAAGAGGTAGTTAACATGAATTACAGGTTGAAAAACGGTGATAACAGCTGCAAAGAAACGAAACAACAGTAACTGGGTAGAAAAAACGAAAGAAGAAATCAGAATTGATTGTGTTAACTCAGCATTTACAGGGAAACAAACCAGGCAAATGGGGCGCGCCGGTGGCGCAGTGGTAGGGCGCGCGTCCCATGTGTTGAGACTCTCGTCTCGAGCGGGAGGCTCCACCCGTGGCCCCTCTCCGCATGTCATTCCCCGCTCTCTCTCCCTGGTTTCCGACTCTATCCACTGTCCTCTCTCTGCATTAAAGGCACGAAAAGCCCAACAAAACAAAAACAAACCAGGCAAATAAGAGAAAGACAAAAATGACGTTAAAGTGGAATAAGTACAAAATAACTGGATGTAAATGTGACAAGAAAATACATTTTCTCATAAGGTTAATACTGCGGCTTTAGTCTATAATGTAGGCTATCTGTATCTCAATAAGAAGTTAAAATGGCCAATTTTTTTTTAGACTTAAATTGACAGGAATTGAACCTAAATAATGTAATGTAAGATATAGCCTACAAAAAGAAACAGCAGCATCGACATTGGACCAAAAGTGATTGAAAATGTTGTTCCCCCCCTCCTCCAGGGTCTCACCTGAGTATGATTGAACAGACAGTGATTGCAGCAAAGGCCGAGGTGGACTCCGCTTACAGCTACTCCCGCAGAGTGTGAGTTCACAATCCTTATCTATTAGCTCCAAACATTCCCAGTGAGTGCGACTCAAAATAGCAGAGATGCTTAAATAAAAATGCAGATAATGATAGACTGTGTGCTCTCCACACCCCACACAGGTCACTGGAGCGCGTCAGGAGGAACAGTGTTAGCCCTTCAGATATCCTCCGGATACAGAAGCAGCCCGCAGGTCATTCACGTGTCGCCGTGCGTTCAGCAGACTACATGGAACACGCGGTGAAAATGATCCAGAGCAACCTCGCAAGACGCAGTAAGCGTTCGGTCAACGCAACAGGTGTGTAGTGTTTACGCTTCTCTCAACTCTCTCTCTCTTACAGTTTCACTTACGGATGAGTTGATAACTATTTTTCATTTCATTCTATTAGATCTGCTCTCTGAGGAGGATCTGGAGTTCATCGCTAAACTGACCGGCTGCTCTGCGCGCACACGTCCGCCCTCCTGCAAGACGACTCCCAACCTAGACGAGTATCGCACTGCACCCAGCGTCTGCAACAACAGGTGTGGTGTGGGTAGCGACTTAAATGGCAACTTTTACTTAACAAATATTGGTGTGAAATGATTTGTGCACGGCTATGTTTCATTCAAAACAAGCATGAGCTCCTTGATTAGGCGATTGGTTTTGGACTTGTCGCTTTTTTGATTGTACCAGCACAGTCAATGAGTTCAAAGTGCCCTGAAAGCAAACTCAGAGAGGATAGAGCAGGGGTTCCTAAACTTTGCCATGATGGGGCCCTTAGGGAAACATTCACAGGGGGGGCCCTCCAGCCAGTGTTCATCACCTTTATGTTACAATCTGACTCCAAAGTATTATTTTAAAAACAGTAATGTAGACAGTGGCGGTTCTAGACCACTTTTACTGAGGGGGCCAAACAGGGGCCAGTTGTTTTGTCAGAGGGGAACATTAAACCCAGGTGAAAAATAGACAAAGATGATCACTTTAAAATATAAATATATATATTATTCCAAATAATAGCTCACATCATAAAATACTACAACATAAAATACCCTGATTTATATTTGTTTCAGTAACAGAGTTTATCACTAGATTGTGAGTCCAGTTGTTGAGTCAAATTAAAGGTCACATGTTTAAATAAGTCTCAGAGCTCCTCAAAACATGTGTGTGAAGTTTCTAAATCCACTCTGATCCTGTATTTGATCATGTCTATAAACCCCTCTATTTCAGCCCTGCTCAGAACAGGCTGTTTCTGTGTCTGTACCTTTAAATATGTAAATGAGCTGTGTCTGACCACGCCCCCTCTCTGGAAGGGCACATATTAGTGTTTTCGAAAACAAGCAAGGAGGCAACAGGCAATCACCTGACTTACATGTTGATAAGCAGGCCCCCCCCTTCCCGTGTACATTATAATGGCAAATCAAAGAATAAACATACAACTGTTTAATACATTTCCTTATTTGTACTAACAGTAAGTGTATAAAAATAGTCTTTGTAATTCCTAACAATATTTAACAATAATAGTAACAGTGGTGAGCCCCCTAGCGCCCCCTAGTGTTCAACAATAATTGACAATAATCGATTTATTGTCTCACACAGGAAAAACACACGATGGGGATCCTCCAACATCCCTTTCGCCCGCTGGCTGGATGCTGAGTACCAGGATGATACGTCTCTGCCTAAAGGCTGGGACCCTGCAGTAAAAGTCAACAAGAATTTTCTCCCCCTGGTAAGAAACTCCAGATAATAATCTTTCATTTCCACCTACCCAAATGACCATGAAAATAGACGCTTGTAGCTTTTTTAATTCCGTTTTAATGAGGTCCTTTTTTTTTTGTCTGCATCCTGTCTCCAGGTGAGAGAAGTGTCCAACCAGATTATGAAAACAAAAACCTCTGACTTGAAGGACGATCCCCTCTTCACTCACCTGCTGACCATCTTCGGTCAGTGGACGGACCACGATCTGACTTTCACTCCTCACTCTCCTGTCATCCGCTCCTTCAGTGATGGCATCGACTGTGACAAGACCTGTGAGCGCACAGAGCCCTGCTTCCCCATCGAGGTGAGAGTTATTGAATGTCCCACTAACGCTGAGTAAATATGAAGCAAAAAAAAAACAAATTCTAAGTGTTTCTTTTCATACAAACAGATTCCCAAGAATGACCCCCGCCTCTACTCTCAACCAGATCAGTGCATGACCTTCTTCCGCTCGGCAGCAGCTTGTGGTTCTGGCAACACCGGGCACATGTTTGGTGCGAGCACTGTCCGCCAGCAGATGAACACTCTGACATCTTTCATCGATGCAGGTCAGGTGTACGGTTCAGACGACACCAAAGCTCAATTCCTCCGGGACCTCAGTACAGACGAGGGGCTGTTGAGGGTCAACACAGAGTTCACTGATAACGACAGAGAGCTCCTTCCCTTCAGCAGCATGACCAGTAACATGTGTGCTACCCGTGCTAAAATCACCAACCAAAACGACACAGAGGAGGTGCCGTGCTTTCTCTCAGGTAAGCCGCAGTAATAAACACAGGGGAAGAATCGGTGAAAACACATCAGTTTTAACATTTTACCAGGCTGACGACGACACTTTCCTCCTCCCTTTGTGACCTCAATAGGTGACGAGCGCTCCAACGAGAACATCGGTCTGTCGTCTTTGCACACACTTTTCATGCGCGAGCACAACCGCCTGGCTCGTGCTTTGGCCAAACTCAATCCTCACTGGAACGGAGAGAGACTCTACCAGGAGGCACGCAAGATCATGGGCGCATACTTCCAGGTAAGAGAGACGCTCAGCAGCATGGGCTGCAGAAACGTTGCATTAATAATTGAATTCCCTGCATGGAACAGTTCCCTCATTTTTTTTATCTTATAGGTGATCATGTACCGAGACTACTTATTCCACATTGTCGGCCCGGACGTGATGGCCAAGCAGCTATCCACCTACCCTGGTTATGATGAAGATGTTGACCCCAGCGTCTCCAATGTGTTCGCCACTGCTGCTTACAGATTTGGCCATCTGATGGTTCAGCCCTTCATGTTTCGTCTCAACGAGACATATGAGGAGCATCCTGAGTACCCCAGCCCGCTGCTGCACAAAGCGTTCTTCACTCCATGGAGGATTACACACGAAGGTATGCTCAAGATATTTAACTTTAACTACGGTAGTTTAGAAAACGATCTGATTCTAAGAAACGTACGAACACCAATCACAGATGACTATCAGTCAGCAAAATCTGGTGTTAAAAATTGGAGCCAATGGGCCTGCTACAAAACCTGCAAAAAGAATTTGCATTGAGTCCTGTATTTATATGCACATTTTTACAGCAGTAATAAACATGTTCATCATCAAATACCTTAACGTGTTTTGTTTAAAACTATGCTGTGGATGATTTTTTTTTTTCAACTCATCCGTTTGGATTATATTGAAGCTCAGAGTTATGTATTAACTTGGACGTGGTTGGGTTGACTGACAGGTGGATAGAGTAGAAACTGGGACGAGAACGTGGGGATATGACATGTAGCAAAGTGAGGAAGAATATCCCCTCTGTACACGTATTAACTCACGAGGCCTCTACAGACACCAATGGGTGACGTCTTTGACACTACGCCCATTTTTATACATTCTATGGTTAATATTCCCCCACGTCAGGAATCTACTGCTCCTTCTTTCCTTTATGAGAAACTACTAAAAAAAGAGGTTAGAGAGACTTAAACAATCATCAGGAGAGCAGCTAGTGCTGTTAAAACTAAACAGCTGCAGGCTGGACTCAGCAGCATCACAAGAGTTCAACACTGATTCAAAAGAATGTAACTAATATGAGTTTTAAGACCAACCTAAAAAAACGCTCATAACACTTTATGCTCCTTCAGGTGGCTTGGACCCATTCATAAGAGGTCTGGTGGGCCGGACGGCAAAGCTGAACATGCCGAATTCAAGGATGCACGATGAGCTAAGGGATCTGCTGTTTAAGTTCTCCGAACGGATGGCTCTAGACCTTGCCGCTCTCAACATGCAGAGAGGAAGAGACCACGGTCTCCCTGGTAATTATCACGTTTTACATCCGTTGTGAAATATAGCTAGCGTGAACTGTATTTGGGTTTGGAGTTTTTTTTTTTAAGGATTTGTAATCAACACTGTGGATCTACAGTCTGACTAATGTTGAGCTCCTCCTCCAGCTCTCCTCGTCACAAATCTCGTCAACAAAATAAATGACGAAAATATTCGTTGACGAAGGTCTTTTTAAAGTCTTTATATGTGATTTTTCACACTTAAATATAATATAAATCAAGTATATCCTCTGAAAATAACTCTGTGAGTCATGACTGTCTACAATGGTTGTAACACCCGAGTCCCACTGTCTGTGATGTTTTCAGAGTTTTCAGAGTCCTATCTTCAGTTTGTTTACATCGCCCGGACGGCCGGCTGACTCCTCCCCTCGTGTATAAAAGTTGTTTAATTGAGGGACTAGAGAAAAGAAGAATAACATACTGTACTCACTGCTTAACTGTGTTTCTAGATCACGCTCATTTCAGGTAAATTTACATGCAGTGTGAAGATACCAGCATAATAAAGATCACTAGCATTAGCATGCTAACACAACAATGCAGCGCATGTTGTTTTGGTTTCATGCTGGTGCTCAAGGGCGACATCTGCTGGATCAAAAATTGCATATAAAGCCTTTAAATTAGTCAACTATGACGATGACGAGACGAAACTCCACTATTTGATGACTTGATAAATAATATAACTTCATCATCTAATTGATGAAAATGTGACGAAACGAAAACTAAATTACAAGTGAGGATTATCACGTCCCCCCTCAGCTTTTCTAAAATCATTGTAAACCATAGCAGACTTCATCAAAGGTGTGCGTGTGTGAAACAATGTGCCTCTCGCCTGCAGGTCTGTGAAGCCCCGCCCCCTGGAGCTTCTGATAATCAAAATAAAAGCTTGCGTCTGTTTTTGTTGACTACAGTAACTTCTATTTTTGTCAACTAAAATGATGTGCAGTTTTAGTCAGTGACTAATTGACTAAATTAAATCAATAACAAATGACTCATATCTGACGAAATATAAAGGACATTTTCGTCAGGAGACTAAATTACAAAATGGTGTGAAGATTAACACTGGTCACAACACCTATATTTTTTGAATGTTTTGACATTCATGATGTTTAGCGATGCTTGCTGCTATCTCTCGTCCATCCATCCACAGCAACATTTCTCAAACTGTGTATCGCTTTTTAGGCTACAACGCCTGGAGGAAGTTTTGTGGGCTGTCCCAACCAAAGAATCTTGCCGAACTGACTAAAGTTATGGGAAACCTTGAGCTGGCAAAGAAACTCCTGAAGCTCTACGGCACGGCCGACAACATCGACGTGTGGCTCGCGGGTGTGGCCGAGCCATTGGTGGATAACGGGAAAGTGGGACCCCTGTTCGCCTGCCTGATCGCCACACAGTTCCAAAAGATCCGCCAAGGAGACCGGTAAGCAGAACCAGAGGAAGAACAGAAACAACATGTTTACTCTGCCATTAACATTCACTTTGCCTTTCAAAGACTTTAAAGGCTTTATATGTGATTTTTCACACTTAAATGTAGAAATCAAGTATATCCTCTGAAAATAACTCTGTGAGTCATGACTGTCTACAATGGGTGTAACACCCGAGTCCCACTGTCTGTGATGTTTTCAGAGTTTTCAGAGTCCTATCTTCACTTTGTTTACATCGTCTGGACAGCTGGCTGACTCCGCCCCTCGCTTATAAAAGTTGTTTAATTGAGGGACTAGAGAAAAGAAGAATAACATACTGTACTCACTGCTTAACTGTGTTTCTAGATCACGCTCATTTTAGGTAAATTTACATGCAGTGTGAAGATACCAGCATAATAAAGATCGCTAGCATTAGCATGCTAACACAACAATGCAGCGCGAGTCGTTTTGGTTTCATGCTGGTGCTCAAGGGCGACATCTGCTGGATCAAAAAATCACATATAAAGCCTTTAAACTTTGAACAAACCTCTTTGGCTTTCAGGCTGTGGTGGGAGAACGAGAATGTCTTCACTGAAGCTCAGAGGTATTCCCTGAGGGATACGTCGCTCGCTCGGATTATTTGTGACAACACGGGGATCGAAGAAGTGCCAGAACAGCCTTTCCAGTATCGGCCTCGAGGGAAAGGTTACACCCTGTGTAAGAACATACCTGATTTTGACCTCACCCCGTGGATTGAGAATGGTGAGCAGCTTACCTTGAGGTCGTCTCTGATCTGATTTTCTGACTGAAGACTATCCGTGGAGAGAATTCTGGAAACACTGATTTATTTCTTCTTATTATTTTTTTTCTAGAACAACGCCCACATGGTACAGGAAAAACAGGTAAACTAATCAGACAATCGATAAATCATTCAGCTTCTATTTATAAAACTCTACATTAATGTACGCCTCATGATCATTTTCTCTGTTATGATGGTCGCAAAGAGTGTCTTTGTAAATATACTCATTGTTTTTTTTTCCTCCACAAAAGGCCCCCCAGGACCTCCTGGCCCCAGAGGCCTTCCAGGTCCCCCAGGCCCTCCTGGACCCCCTGGTGACGCACATCACGTGGCTTTCTCTGTGAGGTTGGGCAACGACCACCCCCAGTCCGGATTTCCCATCCCCTTCCGTGATGTCATCTACAACGGCCAGGGCAGTTACGACCTAAAGACTGGATACTTCACCTGCGACCAATCAGGCGTCTATCAGTTCACGTTCTCCTGCACCATCAACAACATTGCCGCAACCGTGGATCTCCTGCGCAACGGAAAACCCTTCTACCACTCCTTCACCACCTTCCAGAGGGGTTACTCGACAGCCAGTGGCACGGTGTACGTGAAGCTTGTGAAGGGGGACAAGGTGTGTCTGATGGCCGAGCAGGGTTCTAACGGTATGACTGCCGACAGCTACTTCTCAGGGAACTTCTTGTTCGATGAGTAAGTGACTTAACACAGCAAGACATGCTCCTGACCTCTCTTTAGTTTAATCTTCACCTCTGAAAAGCTGAATAAACACATCGGCCCCTCCCCCACATCCAAAGCTATTTATTTAAGTCCCACATGAATTGGGTGCATATTATTTATGTTTTGAAAACTAAAGCACTTCAGGATTTGTGCAATAATTGAATGACTCCATTTAGGATATGAAGTAGGACATGAAGACACCGAGGCCGGGCTTCTGTTCAAAACAATCGCTTTTTAAAGTCCTCATGAAACCGGAACCTCCAAAGTATCCTACCGCCTTGTCGTTATGTATTTCCAACTGAAGCAGGGTAGAACCAATCACAAGATAATGACGTTGGGATCGACAAAGCTTTTTAATTGGTCATAAAATGAGTGCAGCATGAGTCATTAGACATTTAAATTTGGTTTACTCAGGTTAAAAACTCAGATAATACTTTGTTGAAATTTATTTGGCTATTTTTATTTGTGTTTTTTTCTTTTCATGAGGACTTTAAACAAGCAGGAGCCCCCCCCCCCCACACACACACACACTATTTCTAATGAACATTGCTGAAAAAAAGCACAAATGTAAAATACTTCCATTTTTGGGAGGTATCGAAGCTTTATATTTAATGAAGGAGTGTTCAACCTGCAACAGAAGCCTGAAAGAAGAGCATAGTTTCCTCTACCTGTCTACTTAAAACAATGTGAACATTTTTGAATTGTGAATCTTATTGTCTTTTGAATGAATCATTTTATTGTCTTTTTTCTGCACACTGTGCAAAACAGTTCAGCATTTACAGCCTAACTGTCCAGCAAATGAATATCTACTATCATGAAGTCTTGAAACAAGCTGCATTTGTGAGAGATCTGATTCTTAATTTTATTGATTATTTAAAATAAAAAATAAAAAACATGCTTTGTTTGCCCGGAGTTGAAGTGTAAGACATTGAGTCACTTTAAGTTTATCTGTAATAAAATGATGTTGTAAATATAACACTCTGCCTATGGATATCTGTGTGCAAATGCCATGAAAACCACAGCTGATGAAGTTCATAATCTGACCAGCAGATGGAGCTAACACACAGCAGAGAATCAGCCCTAATTTTTAATGACTTACTAAAAAAGAACAGAGAAGAAGAGAGCAGATGTTTATTGTCATTTGAACGAGAAAAAGACAGGATTTTAATTTTGGTGCGACCCTCATTTAGTTTTTTTGTTTGATTTGTCAGGGACCATGAAGAAAACACACATTACTCTCAATTCATGAGAGGAGATGCATTGCACCACATTTAGCTGATTAACTATCTGCAGTCACTGGGCAGGCATACAAACATAAAATACAATACACTCTGAATCAATACAAAATATGAGTCAAAGCCACTAAAACTAGATTACATCATAGCCACACTCCCTGACCTAAAACCTACCACCTTCACGAGCCTCTCCCCTCAACCACAAAGAGCATATGTACCCACACACACACACACACACACACACACATACACACTATGCACACACACTTGAAAATTGTCTCCTACAGTAACAGGTCATTAAAATGAAAATGGATACCAAACAAGTTTCAATCAAGATGAATGCACACATGATTGGTTTTTCAGGATCCATTTTTCCCTTCATGAGAAAAAACATCAAAATGTGTTCAGATTTTCAGATCTGTGGGGGAGCTTGTTCCACTCCTTCATGGCCCTAAGAGGATGAGCAGATTGTGCTTTACTGTAGGCGAGGGGAAATTAAGTTTGCAGCCAGGTAAAAATAAGATCAAAAACATTTAGAAATCCACACAGGCACATCGACTCAAACAATAGAAACAACACAGTGAACAACATTAAATACTTAAGAGTTCATGTATAAAATGTATAAAAAGGTCTTCAAACCAGAATGAAACCATCATCAGGGTCATCATTAGAGTTCAGAAGCTTGATGGCCTCAGTCATAAAATAGTCTCAGAAAATACCTCGTAGAGTCAACTTTATAAAACATGAAGTCTAAAGAAAGAAGAGCAAAATAAATACAATCGTTATGACTATAAAAGCACACACTGTCTAAAAAATACACACTTTGTAAAATATGAAACAATAAAAGAAGTGTTCTCGTCTTTAGACTAAAAGATCCGCACGGCATGTGGGACCTGCTGCAGGTTCTTAAACTGAAGATTTAACTTTTACTGACGACAAATGTTTAACCTCTTTAATCTTAATGCAATCTAAAACTGTGGAACATGTTCAGTTAAAACAAAAGTGAATTTATGTTGTTTGCTTGAAGCCCTGATAACAAGGCCCACTGACGGACACCGGTACGCTGAAGCTCCAACATCATGACCACCTTTGCAATCCAATCATGTTTAACCGTTCAACCATGAATTCAACTTTTTGTTTCTAGTTTTTGTTGACATGGTCATGACGGTAATGATCCTGCTTTATATTTGTTATCGACGTGGTAGTAAGAGGTGTTCAGGTCCTGATTCACACATGTCCCGCCCACCATGAGGCTTTCACTGTCGGTCTGGAAATGAGCGATCTCAGGAGGTAAGACACGACACACACAAAAATAAGACAGAATCCAAGATGGCAGACAAAGCGAGAGAGTCCGACACTACAATAATAATAACAGTCTGTGCCTTCATATCAAAACTACAAGAATACATCACAGGAGAAGAGTTGTAAGTTGGTTGCTGGATGTTTGTGTTACAGATAGAATCCCAAAGGAACTAGGTCACAGGTTTCCTCACTCATCAGGAGGTATCGACTGCACCTGAAGTTCTCCCTGACGGGCTGCGAGGCGACATAGGGAGGTGGAAGTTCCTCTGCTTGGAGAGTTTTGTGTCTCCAGAGAGTCAACACCATCAGTTAACTTTCTGTGTTCATGAATTCAAATATCAGTTTTTTGTGTGTTTTCTTTCGGCCGTTTTGTGACTCCTTCCATACCCCCCCTCGTTCTTTGACTCCCGCTTGTCTTTTGTTTTGGCCTCCAACTTTATGTTTGTCTATCAGTTTGATAGAATCAGTGGAGGGTTTTTTTTTTTTTTTTCCAAAGGCACACTGGCCATCCGTACCGTACTCAAGCACGATTGCCCCCCCCTCGCTGCTCCGTTCCCACACTGGCCGGTACGGCCCGCGGTCACACTGGCCAGGACTAACTGTGCCTAAAAGCACGATTACCTCTTGTACATAATGTCATCTACAACGCATGCATGCTTAATGTTATTATGAAGCATGCTCAGTTGACAAACAGGTGGAAACTGTGGCTGGATGGCCAGTGTGACCGCGCCCTTACAGAAACCCAAGGCCAACTTATGTGGAATCTTTATGTAAAAAGTTCAGCGACCTCTGTCACTCAGATTTAGTTTCCTGTGGGGAACGTAACATAATGTTTATGTTTACTGCTGACTGCAAAACAAAATGCCCTCTCACAGAGGAAATAAAGACAATCATGAACCCTCAGTTAGAAGAAAAGAGTATGCTCACTTGCAATAAACTTTCCTGATTTACAGATCGGCTCACCTTGACTTTTTTTTTCCAAAATGTACCAACATTTTACTTTGAGGCTGACCAGAAAAAGTCTAGGTGAAAAACTTGGTCTGGTTAGCGTTCACACATGCAGCGAAACCCGAACATATTTCAGGAGTTTTGTGCATGTGGGAAACCCCTGCCATGTGATGTCATTACATGCCCAGCGCTCTTCATTTAGATGTTTTCTGGAATTAAATGAATGGAAACTTTCAAAGCACTGATGACACTTTAGATATCAGAGGATCAATAACATTCATCAACCGTGGCTGTGTTTTATTTACACATGTTTCTTGTGCACGCTCGCTCAGTAACTTGGCTCATGAGACAAAAGCTTTTTGTTTGTTACGTAACATGTATTTGACAAGCTTTAATCTTTCCTGACATTTGCTCTCAGACTTGTTATAGTTCCATTGGGGCAGGGCGCATGATAGATCCATTACACAAGTGACTAACTGGGTGACTTGTTGTGAAAAGGAAAGCACCATAGATCACACACACCCACGCTGCTTCTTCTGCTGCTGCTGCAGTGACATAATGAGCTGAGCAGATGTGAGAGGTCAACTTTATTGATATTGTAGAACCAAATCTCATGAGAAATAAAGCTCATTTGAAGAACAGTCAGCAGCAGAGTGTTGTTCAGGACACTTTAAGTTTTAATTCAACAGGTTTTCTATTATTTTATCAACACTAGCACTTACCTTGTATTTTTTCCTAACACAGATTACACTTTTAAGGAAGTCTTTAGATCCAAGCAGGCCTGCATAAACTTTTTTGCTTCAAGTGAGGATGCCAACACTCCCCAGAGAAATCTGCGTCTTCTCCTAAAGAAGAAGCGTGCGCAATATAAAGCGATCGATGGGAGACGATGCGGGTGTTGTTTTCTTACAGAGGAGAGGAGGGACGGGAACCAGCTGCTACACACACACACACACACACACACACACACACACACACACACACACACATAAAACGCACATACACACGCACGCCACGCCACGCCCCTCTGACCTCGCGGACACGGTGCCATCCACGCAGAGTGGCTCTGGGTGTCCCATGGGAGCAAGGGAATGCTGGCGAGGACGAGCGGCACACGATACCCCATTGTTCGGCTAAGCAGTCACTGATTCCTCCCCACACACCACACACACACACACACACACACACACACACACACACACACACACACACACACACACACACACACACACACGGGCTGACCGTCTCAGCGGGTTTAATTGATTAGAAAGACGTTTGTGGTCGGACTAATCCCCCCGTTTGCGGCTCTGACTCTCCGCTCCACCGAGTCAGAAAAGCCACATTAAGTCAGAAAGTCTCGCGGGTTGTGATAACCTCTCGCGCACCTGTGGGGCTCGTGACATAAAGCCAACTGAAGAACACACAGGATTTTGAAGAAATATATATTTTTTATCAATCTCAGGAAGCTTCAGTTTTCACAACAGGCCATGACAAACCTAAACAGCATCACTAAGTTTGTCATAATGGAAGTGAAAGCTAAGATAAAAAATAGTTACTAATGAAAATTGAGGTGTAACCTGTGGAAGAGACATCCTGCCTTCTCTTTGTCTGCCTGCATAGGTTAAGGTTGGTTTAACATATTGGCTCCAATAGGAGCCAATAGGACATCAGGCCTCGTCTTATTTAAAGCTCCTGTGAGGAGTTTTCAGCTGGTCATGAAACAGACTAAAATGAAACGACTAAAAATAAACTTGATCGATTATTTTAAAGCAGTAATTTTAATATCTCGCTCACCCTCTCGCTGCGATGATTTACAGCACGCTGCAGAAAAAGACTTTGTTTACGTTTTCCACAGCAAACATCATTGTCAGTTATCTAATTTCACTGATCAAATACAGCAGGATGAGATTTAAACAGCATGTACCGGACAAAATCTGCAAAGACTGCTTTGTCCACAGGGGGCGCCAAAATCAACACAAACGGAAAAGTTAGTCTGCAGGAGCTTTAAGCGGCTCCCTCCCTCCCTCCGTGGCCTCCAGCTGGTTTGGCTTTGCTTTTGTTTTGTTTGCACCTATTACTCCGTACACTGTACACATTATTAATCCATCTAATGTATGTTTTATTTTACCTTTAATTCACAATAAAATTATTCCTTTACATTTTATTTTATGCATGATTCCCTTCCCAAAACTTTAAGACAAACCAAAAGAAGGAATTAATACCAAAACAATGGACATAAGCTACTTTTCTTTCCCAACCCCCACCAAAAAAAAAAGCTCATTTTCTAAACTCAAATGTTCTCCTCCGTGTTACAGCCACATAAAAAAGCAAAAAAAGAACCAACAAACACACGATGCTTTCTGAGAGCAACAAGCTGCAGTGTCAATATGTGTCACTATGTGTCATCGGATTCATTCTCTTATTCTTAATTTTGTGTTTGAGACTGCCTTCGACATTCACACAAACAAAAAACGGATTTGGTGACGTCCATGTGAACGCCAAACTAAATCACAAAACATGTTTAACTTTTTACAAAGAGTGAAGCCAACAGTTCCACAGTGAGCCAACAGTTTTTTTGCTGTTGTTGTTTTTTGGCAAAAGAGATTAAATCCCTCTTCTGAAATAAATAGCTTGAATGGACAAACAGGAAAGTGAATAAAGGAAAACCAGATGATTTGTTTTACTTTTCTTGTTCAGACTTTGGAAATCTTATAAGTGACGACCAAAGAATTTACCGCCTTGCCAAACCCTTTGGAAGATTCAGAAACTCTTGATTTCACTCATTCTCGCTCCTTTAACCGAGTTTATGTAACTAAGCCTGTGTCTCTACTCGCGTCGTATTCCTGAAAATAATTTGACAAGTCCAGATTTTGTCAAGACAACAAACACACACCAAAAAACATCGAGGAACAAAACCTGTACGAGGCTTCATTCACTGACTTTGAGACAATCCTTCAAAGTGTTTTGCTGTTGTTTCTTGGGAAACACTTTTAAATCTTCTATTAAAATAAACAATCTAATGTGAGATCTGTGTAAAAAAGGAGCACAGATGATGTGAGGTGCTTGGGGGCCCCAGGCCAGTGTGGGGGGCCCCCAATGGCTGACTAACTTTAAACTACAGCAATCTTCAAAGCTTCAAAATGTGCAAAAATGGCATCACACTCGCTCTCATTGCACTGTGGAGCGTTGCATGCATTATTGCTGTGAAAAAACAAAATTTGTCAATGAAAGAAAATGAAGAGGAACTATCTGAAGGAGGAAAATAGTAATTAACGCTGGTTGGAGGGGCCCCCAATGAATTTTTTTTTTGCCTTGGGCCCAAACAGACCCTAGAATCACAGCTGGAGGTGTTTGACTTTCTGTGTTCAGGTTTTAGAAACCTGTTTGATCAGTGATGACTCATGTCCACTAAAATGTGTCTGAATACTAAAAAACTCTTCTGCCTCATTGGTTGTGTACCAAGAGTTTTTTGTTTTGAATCATAAACTTTGATTTCAATCACTTTCATTAAACGGATGGTCAAAAAAACGATCAATCCACATTTTAAAAAGTGCATCTCTCTACATTTCAGCCTCCACCTGGACGCTTTCCACCAACTGGAGGAATTTTATTCAAGTGTGTCATCAAATATAGATTTTTTTTTTTCACGCTTAAGTGGAGCTGTCAATCAAGCCAGGGGGACGTGTGCGTGTATGTGTGTTTGTGTGCGTGTGTGTGTGTGTGTGTGTGTGTGTGTGTGTGTGTGTGTGTGTGTGAGGGTCCTGGCGACAGGGGCGTGGACTCGGTAGCAGGATTCCCCAGGACTGCGCTCATAATTGGGGGAACATCTGACTTTGTCCCGCGCTGGCAGATGGTGGGCTGAGGCGGCATCCAAGGGGGGGGGGGGGGGGGGGGAGATTTACACCCATTGTCCGCGCCGCACAAACTCCACACAGAGACAATAGTATCGGTGAGGGGCAAAAAAAAAAAAAAAAAAAGGAGCCAGGAGCTGCAGAAAAAAAATAACAACTTTCCCTTTTTTCGGAGCCAGACGGACAGGAGTGGAAACTAATATTATGGCTGTAAGAAAAGGCTCCAATATCCTCCATGATGGTTTCGTTTTTAGAGCCTTAAAAAAGAAAATCACACCAATTTAGACTCTGGACATTTAAAACTAAAATAAATATGATTTATATTGTTGCAGAAATTGTCTTTATTAGCTTCACTTTTTTATAGTGAGGTTATTTCAACACTTTGGCTTCACTGGAGGTTGCATTGTGAACCAAAATAATTTATGATAGACCTACATAAAGTTAATAAGACAAATCATTTGGAAAGAAATACATTATATCTTTATTTCTGAAGGTCTTGTTCAAAGTTGTAGACACGAAAAAAAAAACAAGCCATAAAACAATCATTTTAACTTAACTGAATCATGATAAGTGAATTTCCAGTTAAATGTGCCTTAATAAAAACATGAGCTGCATGTGCATTCTGACATATTCATGTAAGTCTATGACTAAATGTATAAATGGAGAGTCTGCAGGTTTTTCCACAGTACATTTCTCATAATTTTTCATTCTCCCATGTTAGCTTTCCTCTCAGTGCATGTGTTAAAAAGAAGTTTGCATTGTTTCTGCTTTCCTAAACACTCAGATGTTGGTTAAAAAAAGAGGATACTTCTATGTGCATTTCTGCTGTGTCACAAAACACCGAACACACAGGCTGGTAAAGACAAAGTAAAACCGTTTGAATCATTAATATTTCACAAACCTGGAGTTAAAGAAACTTCGACAGGCTCTAAAAAAAATGAAACACTTTATTTTGAAGCATTTTCCTGCGCAGTAAAACTTGCCAAAAAAGCTTACCATTTTTTTTAATTTTTTTTTTGTAACTGAGTATTTGATCGGACGGTCTGTGGTATTGATTAAGAACTCATTTGGAACTCTGTCAGGCTGCGCTCCAAACGCCAATCAGAGCGCAGCCTCGTCCCTCCTCGTGGAGGAGATTGATGGACCAACCAGACGGCCATTGTTCCGGCTGACAGTGATGCGATGCCTCCTCAGCGCGTTCAAAGCAGCAGACGGTCGAGCTGCTGAATGCGCGCCTGTCGAGAGCGCACTTGTGTGAGGGTTTTGACTCGAATGAATAGACTAAACAGGATTTGCTGTTACAGACCCATTCATGGTGGAATTAGACCAGTTAGTACAGGACAATTTACACCCGCAAGTGGCTTCTGCGAAACCGTCAGAAACGAACAAATGCAAATCATGATGCTGATATAATGTTTGTTTACACATCTGCACAATTTTTTAAAATGAACTTTTAAATTAAATAATTGTCAAACGCCCCCGTCTCCTCCTCCCTCACCATAAAGCAAACACACACACACACAAAGAGGACCCTTCAAGTCGGTTGCATTTCATATTTCCTGCATTAAGATTTCACAGATTTAGTTTGTGGTCTGATTGTTGTGTTTTGCTTTCATTAGCACCCTGCTCGGACTTAATGTGTAAAGTTTTGCAGCCAGAGTCACTGGTTGGATGCTGAATCTGGCAGAAGTCCAAACAACGGGGATGCACTTTACACCAATGAGAGCATCCATTTCAACAATCGGTCCCCCATATGGCACCGAGGCCCCTCCTCCACGCGCTATCCCGGCAGAGGGTCTCATTCATGCTCTAACACAGCGGCACACTGCGAGCTCACCGGCCCCTCGGATCAACTGTTTTGGATCCGACCCGGCCTCCTGAGAAAGGAACACTTCCCCTCACACATTCAGATATTTAAGATTTGATTCTGAGGCGGATTCTCGCTGAACTGTATGCAGAGTTGAGCCCCCCCATCCAGCAGGTGAACCTTTACGCTCGAGCTGACGCTGGAGATCTGCGCTTGGACAATGCTTGCAATTAGTTCTTGGAGTACATCTGTCATCACCGTTTCAGCTTTGAAAGAAAGTACGAGTGGATTTTAACGGAGAAGTCCTCGGAAGCATCACACAGCGTCGGGTTTTCTTTCTTTCTTTCAATCTGTGAAAGCTGCGGAGGAGAGCAGCGCTCCGGGGTGGACCTTCTGTTGTTTTGCAAACTCAGTACTCAGTTTCTTTTTTTGATCTCCAAAGTTCAGAAAAGTGCACCGACACGAGCAAGGACGGGGGCTTAAATGTTCGGGATCCAGGAGCATCTGATACGAGAAGTGAGCGGATTAAAGGAGAGGAGTCTTGGAGAGGAGATGGATCCAGTCCGGTCCTGGGTGCGTAATGTCGGCGTCGTGGATGCGAACGTAGCGGCGCAAAGGTACAGTCCAAAACCATCTGATCTACTGTCATTACCTCCTCACCTGTTTGATAAATCTGTCAGGCCTGTTAGCGAGGACACTTTAGCGTCACACTCTCCATCATGAGCACAGAGCAGATTAGTAACTCTGAATATTAATATGAGAGCAGACGATGTGACAGAAAGCAGGCACTAACTACTTGTTGCAAAATGTCTACTTTAAAGAATTGCCATAAAAATCACCATCATCTTTAGATTTCATGCAGGAACAACTCGTGTCTTTTAAAACTATTTCTCAAAGTGGTAAAATAAAAGTTTTTTGTCAAATGCAGGAGAGAGGAAAGTGGGCCTTTATTGGAGAAAATTACACCTTAAACAAAAATCATCCACGTGCAGAATCTGATCCGATAAATCTTTAATTTATCTAAAAACATTAGATAAATGTCAAGTTAGATATTCAATTAACAGAAAATTAAACAGTTATATGTTTTTCTGGGACTAAACATAACCAAATCTCCAGAGCATACATGATGTATCTTTTTTTTTAACATGGTTATTATAAAAAACGTTTATCTTCACCAACAAAACATTTATGCTTCTTTATTAACAGAATCTTTAGATAGTATATTCTTAATTATATAATTTTTTTTAAAATTTGCGTTTCTCTCTAATTTCCGTAAATGTCCAGATGTTTGATTATTCTCTTCACATTTGTTTCACATCTTCGTCGCTTCTAAAGTCAAGAAAAAAGTCACAAAAGAGCGAAAAGAGAGCATCGTGTTCATTAGTGTGATATCAAACATTTATTAATAAACAATTTTGAATAATTAGAACAACAGTGATGCTGCGTATTGTATTTAAATCAGGTTTTTTTTTCTGTATATACAACTGAACTTTATTTATAATATCTCGATTTTTCTGTTCTGTAAATCGAGGGGAAACTTTCCCTTCAGAAAAAGATTACTGACTGACTGACTGACTGACTGTCATAAAAAAAAAATTCCATATTTCTCTCCGTGTATGACTTGTATGAAAAAGTGTAAAATCAGTTTAGACCAAAATTCACAAGAATAAAAAATCTAATCTTTTTTATTGCGAGTTTAAAATCCATCTCTTGGAGTCTCTTGTGAGAGACATCAAATCATTCCCTCATTTAGAATAAGTGACGTGATTTATTAACCAATATGCAACCAGACGTCCTGATACTTTTCTCCACTTTTTAAGTTTAAACACTAAAGTTTTCTTTTCTCTGTTATTTTTTCCTGATTGCAAATGTATGAGTAATTTGAAAGGAAATGTACTTCTATTTTCTGGAAAGGTAAAATGGCCTTTAAGTTTTGGGAAGAAAAATCCTTCCTGTTTGCACTGAACTCTGTGTATGGTTTTGTTTATTTTTTTAACCTTAATTAAGTGTGCAGATCCTCCAATGCATCTTTTGTGCATTTCTTTCTCTTATTTCACATTGCTTCTATCTGTCAATACATCTGCAATCATTGCTTCTATTACTTTTTTATTTAATGTTTTAGTTCCCTGATTAAAGGACTTCTTCTGTTTTAGAGTCTTTCGCGTCTTTATTCTACTTCAATGTTTATTGTTTTAGCATCAAAACTCAAAGTCAGACTCTTAATTAACATGATCGTACAAAAAGATAAAACTTGTTCCTGATTCTTTAATAATCTGAACATCTCCTGGCCAATCATTGATTACTTTAGTTTGGATAACTGAAGGTCTGATTTATAGAATTAGAAAAAACTGTTGTAATCACTTGGAAATTAAATGACTTTTAAATGATTGATTAATGTGTAAAATAATTTCAACAACCAAACAATCAAAGAATTTTAAGATACATATTAATTTAGTTTTCATGATAAACTGCGAGCTGACAAAGTTTCTACTTTTCAGTTTTGCTTTGATTCATTTGTTGACCACCGATCACAATTTATAGAAAATATTCCAATAATAAAACATCAAGCTGCATGAAATCAGTATGTGGTGTATTTAATAACCTGATGTGAAACATGGTGTGATTGTGTTTTCCTGTTCTGTCCTCAGTGGAGTCGCTCTGTCCAGAGCTCACTTTGAGAAGCAGCCGCCTTCAAACCTCCGCAAGTCCAACTTCTTCCACTTTGTGCTGGCTCTTTACGACCGCCACGGGCAGCCTGTGGAGGTGGAGAGGACGTCGTTTGTGGACTTTGTGGAGCATGACAAGGTGTGTGACTGTTACTCAACCACTCCCTGCATCCATCATTATATTTAAGGACATCAAAGAGTGATCATCTTTGACCATTAAAAGTAAAACAAAGAGCAGATAAAAAACCAAGCAGGATGCATTAGGGATGTTTGTATCCAGGTGCTCGGCTTGATTTTCTCTCAGTAAAGCTGAGCATATCGAACAGCTGACGGCTCCGTGTTTACACAGCTCTCCCTCCACGAGCTGAAGACGATGCAGGATTGAAAAAGAATATCTAATGACTAATTAGCAGCTTGCCTCATTAGGAGGACATCACTACTTTTTTGAAAAATGCAAATGATGCCTGATCCTGTTAAGTTATACAGTGAACTAATCATCAAAGTCTCTTTTCCTTCATGCATCCCCCTCTCCCATGTACATACTTTAAAAAACTGCTGTCAAGGAGGGGTGGGGAGGGTTGGATTCCTCAGGTTGAACAAGACCAAAATAAGGAAGGCAGACTGGAGAGGGGCGACTGGAGGCCCGCTGGTGTTGATGGATGTTTTTGCCATGTGGTGAGGGGAGCTAGGATCTCCTAAACTGGCAGCAGAGGACAGCGTCCTGTCAACAGTTCAAACATAGTTAAACTTCGGGTTTCATGGACAGGGAGTGGGGAGGGGGGAGGCGGAGAGGGTGGTGCTAATGCCAGGGCTGAGAGTTGTCAGAAAGCTGCCACACAGGCCGGCGTGGAGCAACACGGCGGCGGTGGAGGAGTTCATTTTCTGCATGGTTACCCTGGCATCTGTTTCTGCTCTGTAATTAAGCAGAGGTAGAGCGACGGCACGGAGGATAAATGTTCCTCTGTGTATATTTACTAAACTTATGAAGCCAGGCAAGCCATCAATCTCCACTCTCAATCTCACTTTTGATATTAACTTCCCAACTCATCTCCCTGCATCTTAATTCCCCCCTATTTCTTCTTCTTCTTCTTCTTCTTCTTCTTCTTCAACTGTCTCCTCTTCCCCGACCTCCTCGCTCTCTCCTCCTCCTCCTCCTCTCTTGCTCTCGTCTCGGCGATGCCAGCCTCCTGGGTTATTGGACCAGAGAGCATTCCTTTGAGACCACTTAGAAAGACCAGTGGAGGTAAAGAAAGAGAAGGAACAAGAGAAGAGAAGAAGTGAGGGGCTAGTGGAGAGCCTAGGGGGGAGGAGGAGGGAGAGCGGAAAGGAAGTTTTTCTGTCAAGGTCGAGTGCGGCTCAGTCTCCTATACACTACTTTCCACTTTGCACACACACACACACACACATGCACATTTATGCCTTTACTACCTCTTTGCAGGGAGCATTTGATCTTACGGTTTTAGGAGTTTGTATCAGACATGATAGGTCAAACTCGACAAAGAAGATCCCACTCAAGGTTAAGCGCTCGGCTCAAAGGTCCCACATGAGCTTTTTTTTTGAGCCTACACAACCCTCTGATCTGCATGCCGCTGCATGCTCCCAGAGACGAGCGAGCTGCAGGATTATAGGATGGAACTCAGCTGATGCTCTGCTGTATCTTATCTGTGCTCCAAATGTACTTAACTGCATGTCCCTGTGTGTCCGTCCTCTCTTTCCAAGGAGCAGACGGGAGAAAAGACGAACAACGGCACGCACTACAAGCTGCAGCTCCTCTACAGCAACGGTGAGTGGAGTCAGCAGCCTCTCAGATTGTAGCTCCAGTCTTTTGCCCTCTGCGGTGTCTCACTTGCTCATTTAGAGAGTGTTACAGGAGTTGAGAAAGGTCACCTGTGACATGACACACAGCTTTTTTTTTCGCTTAAGTGATCTTCCCCTCTACATCCTCTCCTGCCTCACCTCTGAGCTCATCATTTTCCTCCTGCTCGTCGTCTAATCACTGGAGTTGCACTGAGGTTGCACAAGTAATTGCAATTACCCTGATTCACAATAAACACATCACAACAGACTGAATTTATCCCAATGAATCAGAACATTTAGCGAAACAAGTCAATACTTTTTTTTTCACTCAGCATGTGCACATTTGACCTGTTGGGATGGAGTCCTGAATGTAATGGTCTGACTCCATTAGTGTGCAGCAAGATGAAGCTGAAGATACCATCAGATTAATAGGCGCCTGTTTAGTGGTATAAAAAGAGGAGTTTTGGATTTCTTTGGATTCAGGAGAAACACGTTGCAAACACAGGTATCGTGTAAAACATGAAGAACAGCAGATGGAAATCAAAAATGTATTTAAAGCTAATTTAGAGGCTTTAATGTTTTTTTGACCTGGTATCGTTATCACAGTATGGAACAATATTATCAAATATCGTGCAGACCTGGTTTTCTCAATTCATATTCTGCACACATGTATGAGGAAATGTGGTACACACTGCCACCCCAACCCCCCCCCCCAACTCCTCCAACCCCCCACGGTGCTCCCGCATCAGATCAGGGGATACACAGAGAAATTCGGTTCCCATGAGCCACTGCTGCCCCTACTCTGCCATCGCAGTGGCACCCATGGGAAAGAAGATAAAAGACATGTTCCAGAGCATCCCCCTAATACAGCCTCCACACACACACACACACACACACACACACACACACACACACACACACACACACACACACGTACATACAAGCGCACCACAAGCACTTCCTCTACATCCCCTCCTCTCACCCCCTTCCCCCCCAAGCGATATCAAAGGCATCTCAATGGAGACTTTGATGAGAGGAACATGCTTTAAAAGCAATACTCTCTAAAGTCCCTATAAAAGAAATCCTCCGGTGATACACTCCTCGCTGAAGAAGCGGTTCATTACATGTCGTTTTCCTTCCAGCGTGTGATTCAAAGGCGACGTTTTGAAGCATTATGAGGCTCAGGTGTTGTAAAAAAAAAAATCTCCCTCTGAGACGCGCCTGATTACAAAAAAATCGAGAAACTGTATTTAAGACGCATTTGTTCCTTGATAAAAACCCAAACTGGGGTTATACCTGTTGGTGTATCTTCCCAGTCGGTCGTTTAAATTCAGGAAGAAATCAAAAGTAAACAGACAAATAAAGAACCTCTCAACAAATCGTGAGAATGCAGCTGTAAATTCTGGCCTCCAAGCAGAACATGACTAATAATCATCAAACATCAAATCGCTCCCAATCCCCTCAGAAAGCATCAGACAGAACTATGAGCCAGTGTTCAGTCCTCCATGTTTGGCTGGACGGAGTTCAGTGATCCTTCTGAGAGCTTCTGAGAGAGTTTGAGAAAAACAACGTGCATCAACGTCGTAAATCTTTCTGTTTTATTTTGAATATCTCTCCAGAACTGAGCTCTTTTTATCGACTGGGTCGAGTATATTAAGGGGTTTAAATGCAGCTCTAATCGCGTCTTTTATGGCGATGTGGTATTTTTGGCATTAGACAGGACAGAATCTGCATAAATCTCTGCAGAATTTTATGTGATGCGAACTTAGTTTATCCCAAACGGGGACATTTTGAGTGTTGACCAGCAGCAAAGACGAAGAAAACAACAAAAGAGGAAGAACATCATAGCTCACAGTGCTAACAGCTAACAGCTAACACATTGTTAAACAGTTAAAGAGCAGGGACAGATATGCAGTTATTGCACATGTTTAATTGAAAACATAAAAACACCGTGCTGGAAAGTTGAACATGTTATTGCACATTATGAGTTCGGGGGAAACTTTCTGGGGCCGAGCCTCATGGGGCCCCCCCATGAAGCTCATCAAAATCAACGTCCATCCTAATTTGAAGTCGATTTTTTTTAACCAAATATTTAATTAATTTCATATTTAGTGTTTTCTTATGTCCTGTGTGCAGAAACTCAGTCAGTAGGGACTTGGTTGGGAACAGGAGGGTCGCCGGTTCAAGTCCCGGTGTGGGCCAAACTTGGAAACTGGCCTGGTAGCTGGAGAGGTGCCAGTTCACTTCCTGTGCACAGCGAGCGCTCCTGAGCAAGGCAACCAACCCCCCAGCTCAGGAGCGCTCGCACTCGAGTGACCCGTCAGTCTGAGTTTGTTTACCTGAAGCCGCTGAAGAAGGGCCTTGCCTGAAATGTCTGTGGCGATAAATATGTGGAAATATAAGAATTTGATGTGCTGTCTTGAAATACATTTTTTGGGGGGGTTTAATATTCCATCCTAAATCGAAACAATGATTGCCAAATTGAATCTCAACTCAACAGAACTTATTCACGCAACGGAAATATACGTTTTATGTTTTGTTGCTTAGGTAAAATGAAGCCGGTCTTAAAGTTTAAAACCCATCTTTTAAAATTGGTAAAGTTTTTTTTGCTATGTTAACGTAATGGGCATGCAAAGAAAAAGAAAGGAGAATTAAAAGAGGGAGCTGACTGCAGCATTTGAGCAAAACATTTACTTGTTTAACATTTTTCAGTGACCTCCAACAGCTGATTGCAGCCAGGATGAGGAGGCGAGTGTTATCAGGATGCTAATGCTAATGCTAATGATGCACCATGCATGTGTTGATATTGTAAAAGTAAATCTGACGAGGGGCCCTTTCACTGGGCCCTTTAGGGTCCCGGCCATTTCTGTGGTTGTGCCTGATTATTACACATCAGTATCTTTAATATGGTTACACATGAGTGATCGGAGTGACTATCCTCTCCTGCTTCACATGGATTGTAAAATGGATTGAAAACAACCAATCGTTTTCTTTTTTTTTTTTTTTGCAGGGGTTCGCACAGAGCAGGATCTTTATGCACGACTTATCGACTCCGTCACCAAACAGGTCGGTAAACTTATCTCTCTCTCTCCCTCAGCTATGAAAGTGAGACTTCAACTGATTGAATATGAAAATGAATCTGATCCATTGTTCTTCGTTTCCCCCCCTCTCAGCCAATAGCGTATGAGGGACAAAACAAGAATCCAGAAATGTGCAGAGTCCTGCTCACACACGAGGTTATGTGCAGGTGAGTCTTAAACACACACACACACACACACACACACACACACACACACACACACACACACACACACACACACGCGCTCATTCAAACCTTCATTCACCCTGAGGGACGAAATCCAAACATCTGTCACTTCTCCCTCACTCGGCTTTGTCTCAGCCAGCCAGATATGTGGTTAAAGCACGACGCTCGGGGCTCTACTTTAAAAAAAAAAAAATTAAAAAAAGTAGACTGTGGTTACAGAGTAAGTCGAGCCTGTCTGTCATCATCCTTGTAACCGTGGTAACCCCTGCTGCTCTTTCTGCTGTAACGCAGCATGTCTTCGGCCGGCTCCTGTTTCCTCCTGGAGCGTCTCTGCAGTCACGATCCACTTTTTATTCCCCCTCGTGAAAATGTAACTCTTGTGTTTGAAATGTAACTCTTCAGTTTGAAATGTAACTCTTGTGTTTGAAATGTAACTCTTCAGTTTGAAATGTAACTCTTCAGTTTGAAATGTAACTCTTGTGTTTGAAATGTAACTCTTCAGTTTGAAATGTAACTCTTCAGTTTGGCTGATTCATCAAGTTTGAAGCTCGTCAGCATGTGATGACAAGCATGTGGTTTATATCGTGTCGTAGTCATAACGGAGTGAGTTTAAAGAGTCTTTGCTGGATGAAGAAGAGAGTTCTGGATGGAGAAACCCGGCTTGGAAGTGGGGCAGTGACCCAGGTTTTTTGGAGGGGCAGGGGGGGTGAGAGGGGGCCCAAACAGAGTCAGAGGTTTGCCATTGTGTAGCCAGCAGATGCCCGAATGTGACTCACAGCTGGCTAATAACAGAGCCGAGGAGGCAGAGGGCAAGCGTCACAGCTGGGGAGTGAGGCCGTCTGACAGGGGGGCGGAGGGGGGTGGGGGGCAGGGCAGGGCCAAGCTGGGACACGAGAGGGGTGAGGCGAGGTGTAGGGGTGGCAGATGGCTAGGGGTGGGGGCACTTTTGTTATGCAGTGAAGGGACTTTGGGAGGGTGGTGGGGGGGGGGGGGGGGGGGGTAGGCCAGCAGGCTCCTCGGACAGGACTGCTGACGAATGGTAGGATGTTGTGGGACGGTGTGTGTGTGTGTGTGTGTGTGTGGGGGTTGAGTTTGATTTCAGAATCAATGTGACAGATTGCCTGGCTGGCTTTTCACTTGTGAATGGTCTCTCACTGTTTGTAGGGTGTGTTGTTGTACCTTTTCTTCCTCTTTTATTCTTTTGTGTCTTGCCCCCCCCCCCCCGCCCCCCCCTCTCATGCCTCCTTTGTGTGCTGCTGGATCTCCGCCGACCGTGGAGCAGAGCAGTCTGTAGACCGGCCAGACGAGGGAGATGGCTCCTCCTGTTTGATTAGTTTTTCTTTTAAATTATTATTCCTTCACTGACTTTTTTTTTTCCTCTTTTCTGTCTCTTTTTTTTTCCTCCCACCCAGCCGCTGTTGTGAGAAGAAAAGTTGCGGCAACCGAAACGAGACGCCGTCTGACCCCGTCATCATCGACAGGTAATGACGTCAAAACACCGTGTCACACAGTGTCCACCACTTCAAACAAGCACAACTCCTTTCCTTTTTATTTTCATATGTGCACCTACACACTAACAAAGAGAGAGTACGGCTTCATGTGAAACTTCTTCTATGATCTCATCAATCAGCAGAAAAGTAGCTGCATACGAGACATGAGACATAAGACATACTCACTGTTGTACTCAAGTTTGAGGGATAAGGCCCAGCCACAAAAGAGGAAACTGTAAAACATGGATGTATATCAGTGATGTCACCCACTGGTTTCTGAAGAGATGTTTTGAAGCCTAAAGGACGATGGTCGCCATATTGGAAAAGCTGACTCCGACTAACTTTGAGAAGAAAGAAACGAGGTGGAGTTGAGTCAGGATGAATAAAGATGTTGGTTTCTGACACACACTCATCCAGCTCGTCGAGCCAACCAACACAACCAAAGCTAAAAGTAAAGAATCAACAGGTTACTGCTAAAATACAGCCCATCAGTCAACTCAGCCACGCCCCTTGTCATGCCTAATGATGTGCAACTCTTTGTGTCAAAATAATCAAAACAGATGAGGAATAAAAGAAGATTCACTCCTGTTTATTTTTACAGAAAAAGAATCGAGCGTTAGTGACCAGAACTGTTTTGGTACCTCGCTTTAAACATGTTTATTTCTGCTGTAAAAAAACAGCCACTTGAGGAACTGCAGTTTTTTTGCACTCCAGTATTTGCTCCATTTGTTGGGAGATTTTTGCCTGCATTAGACAGGACAGCTGAAGACAGACAGGAAATAATGGGAGGCGAGAGGAAGGTTTCAAACCCGCTGCGACAAGGAATTAACCCTTTACATGAGGTACGCAACAAAACCGCCAGGCTATACGATGCCCCTGCACTGGCTTCAACTTTTTAACACACAGGCTCTTCTCCAAACCAGCTATTATTCAAACACCTGTAACCTGCTGCTTTAAACATATCAGAGTAATTTATTGGGAATTTGCATTAATCTCCGGTGATGAAAAATGAAGCCAATGCAGAAGTTCAACAGACTGCAGTTCCTCAAGTGTCCACTTGAAATTGACTGCAAAAGCTGTTAAATGACCCGGAATACATGTTTAGTGCCTGGTTGAAAGAAAACATGTTGGTCTCTGCAGCTCATTTCTTTATGAGAGATTTGCATAATTGGATATTACAAGGGGTGTCACTGAGTTGATTGACAGGTGGACGTGTTGTAGCTGTTTGTCGATAGGCTCAGCTCCTTCTCATTTCCTGTTTCGAGATCGATTGAGTTGGGTTGAGATAACATTTCCAATATGGCGCCCACCATCACTGGGCTTCAGATCCTAATGGATGACATCTCTGAGATCCATGTTTATACACCCTATAAAGTGTGGAGTATGTGTGTACGTGTCGACCCTCCATGTGTTTCTTCTTCTTCTTCTTCTTCTTCTCTGTTAATCTGTTGATCTTTTTTCTTCCCCCTGCTGGGATCTGTTTCACTTTGGTCACTCATTACGTCGCACCTGAAGCCTTCCCCAGAGCGTAGATTTTCTTTTATCAGAAGCATGTGGATCTTTTATCCCAGCAGACTGGCCCACATATGTAGTAAATGTTCATCCTGACAGCCAGTTATCATCGGGCTTGAAGGGCGGATGACCACCGCCATAATCGGCGTGTGTGAGGTGCCTTCACGTACGAGGGGATTTGGGAGGTCTTGAGCTGTCGGCCTGGCATTAACACAGTGTGATGAATGCTCATAAGCACACCGCATGTGAAATATTTTCTCTCTGATGTCATGGATGCAACCTTCCTCTCCTCTTCTCCTCTTCTCCTCCTCTCCTCCTTCCTTCCCTCAGATAGTCTGTCTAGAAAACACTTCATATACGTCAAGGACCCTTTTCTCTCCCCTCCTCAGTTCAAGCTGGCTGGCTGTTGACAGTGTGTCTCTGAGGATCTCTGCTGAAGATAGTTTTCATAGAACGGAAAAATCAGGCTGTTGTCTTTTGAAAAATTTTCCCAGAATACCTTGGAGCAGCTGCTTTTCTCATTTACTGTAGCACATTACTTTCCCAATAAACCCCCTCGGCGCTGCTTTCATACTTCCTCCAAACATGGCCAAACCTTCCTCCGATTTTTGTTTGTGAGTCGCTCAGAGTGTGTGTGTGTGTGTGTGTGTGTGTGTGTGTGTGCAGGCCTGTGTGCTGCTCTGAGGATTGATTTAAATGGAATCATTGACCTACAGTACTCCCTAATCACAGCGGGCAGATCCCGTCCTGATGGGGGGCTTCTCCCTCTTGACTGGCCTGCGAAATCCTCTCCTCGGGGAGCAGCCTATTAGCAGACAGTTAATTTCTGATAAGCCAATGAAATTTTGCGTTTGGCCTGTTGCCCTTCCATCCCACTTTCTGCACACACTCTCATTTATGCACTCTGAAAAAGTAAAAAGATTGGCCTCATAAAGCAGCATGTGTTTAGACCAAACAGACGTATAGTTTAATGTGTGTGTGCATGTTTATTTATGTCTGTGTATGAACGTATGTGCGTTTTCTATGCGTCTCTGTGACCCCTTGCTTTGACCTTTTTCCCCTAGTCACTGCATGGGTCTTCAATTATTCATGTGTGTGTGTGTGTGTGTGCAGCCTGTGTTCATGTGTATGTGGCTCCAGTAATCAGCCTCCTGCTCCCAGCCCCAACACCTGTTCTCCAATTAACATGCAGGGTGCTGTGGGGCCCACTCGCTCCTCTTGCTTTCGATTCTTCCTCCTTTTCTCCTTATGCTCCCTTCCTCCCTTCGCTTGTTTCCTCGCCTCCTATCTGTGCTTCTACTTCTACTTCCTCTCTCTTTTCCCACTCGTTCTTACTGACTTCTTCTTTCCCTAACTCCTAATTCCCCTTCTTCTTTTTTTCCTTCAATCTCCTCCACCACCACCACCAGCAGCTCCCGCCCCCTCCCTCCCTTTAGCCTGTCTAATTTTGCCATAATTAGGCGGTGTCATTAGGACACCTACCCAAGCACAAGGGAGTTTGCAATTCCCCAAACGTCCCAAACCCCCACTTTTCTAATCTCCTTTCCATATTGTTTCAGTTTTCTCTCCCCCCCCTCCCTTCTCCTTCTGCTGCTGCTGCACCCCCCCCCTCCTCCTCCTCCTCCTCCTCTTCTTTTTCTCCCTAATCCTGATTTGAGTGAAAGGGGAGAGAGGAGATCACAGCTGATCCACAGGGAGGGGTTGAGGGGATGGAGGGTGGAGGGGGGTCGAGGGATGAAGAGGGCAAGGAGTCGTTGACAAAAGAGATGACTCTTATGGGGGGGAGACTTCTCTAACGCCCGCCGCCTGCTGTGTCTAATAGTTTTACAATTATCTCGTCTTAACTTTGGTGAACTGATGTGACTCTTCGGTTTGAGAGTCTCATCTTTGAATGATGGAGAGGCTCGTTCACTGATTGGTTAGATGATCGATCAATAGATGGATACATTGATTCCTGAGGGCTCATCACCATAAATCTTCAAAGTCAGGCACTCGCTGCTTTTACTACTTTTCAATTTGGTTTTTAATATATGAGACTTTGACATTTACAGTTGATTATTTGGCATCCTGACATCTGTAGAAAACACTGACCTGCATCCTGATCTGCCCACAATAAAGGAGTTGGTGGATTTAGTTAATTACGGAAAAAAATAGATCGACTCAGTTATGTTTAAGATGGGTTTTGTATAGCACCAGATAGGCAACAGATGTTTGTTTTGAGAGGATTTATATATGTAGTAATTGAGCATTTTAGATGATGCATATGACAAAAATAATAATAAAGGAAAACAGAGATATTGAGAAATGCAACAACTGCTGCAAACATTACTCACTAAGTTGCCAACATTTTCAATACTATTTTAAAGTGTTTGATTCTAAGAGGATACAATCATTTTTCATGATCGATAGCAACGCAAAATATGGAAGATTTTAAAAACAACAGACCTTCAGTCATATTTTACGCCAAAGAGAAAAAGCCTACTCTGTCTTAACTGCACAAATACATCGGCAACCTTTCACTACTGAAAGGTTGCCGATGTATTTGTGCAATTAAGACAGTGTGCCTGCAAATTTTGGAATTGAAAAGCAGGAAACGACTCACTATTGGATGCCTTGCTCTTATAGTTCGGTTACCATGGTATTGAAACAGTCATCAATATCGTTTGATTTTTTACTGGTATGATATGGACGTTTAAAATCTGATATCATGACGACACCGCTCTTCACTGCAGACTCTTTGTGCTCGCTGTAACTGCCCCACCGATTCAATGCAAAGTGTACTCGACCCGTCCTTTAATGAAAGAACAAGAGCTGAAAACGTAGTGGATCTGTTCGATAGTCAATTATCTGAAAACTAATGGACAAAAATCTGATAATGGATTGATTGTGGAGGTCATTTATGAAGCAAAAACAGAATCTTTCTTTCTGCTTCAAAGTGTTTTGCTCTGCTGTGTGTCTGAGTTTTAATGCATTGCGGTTCTGGAGAGTAGAAAATACAAACAGCTTGATGTCTAATTCGGGTATTTTTCGCCAGTCTTGTTTGCTTTCTCTCCTTAAAGCTCGTTGTCTCTCAGTATTAACCCAAGCAGATCTGTTAATGGCTGGATTATTGCCACTCTGACCTCTGGCCTCTGGAAAAACTATATTGGTTCTGGGCCAAAGCTGGCCCCTGTATTTATGAGTGAACCATGGCTTTACAATGGAGACAAGCAGATGTCAGTATTAGTATTAGACCGTGTGGTTTAAGACAGGAGGGGGGGGGGTCCTCCTCTGTGAGTGTGTGCTTTTATATTTGGCTAAGAAAGAGGGATCAATAGTTGGTCATAAGGAGTGTGTGTGTGTGTGTGTGTGTGTGTGTGTGTGTGTGTGTGTGTGTGTGTGTGGAGGGATCCATCGTATGGCCTGTGAGGAGGGGTCGTGATCAATGGCAAGCACTATCTCACTAATTGATCGTGTTTCCAAGAGGGGTCTTTTTTAAC